GGAAGCTCAATCGTCCCTGGTACTTTGGTGCCGGGTTTCTGCTCTTCTGGGCCATGCTCTTTGTGTCCATTGTGTTGCCGCTGTTCTATCGCCTGCCCACACCGCTGACCGAGCATGACAGCAATCAGGGCGTGTTCATTGCGGAGCGAGCACACAAGACACTCGCGGGTTTGGCCAGCATTGGCACCAAGGTTGTGGGCAGCCAGCACAATGAGGTGGAAACGGTGCAGTTTCTGCTTAGGGAAGTGGAACTGATCAAGCAGCAAGTCCTGCTGGAGTACTACGACATAGAGATCGATGTGCAAATCGCTTCGGGCTCTTATGTACACTGGACCATGCTCAACCTGTATCAGGGCGTGCAGAATATTGTCATCAAGCTGAGCCCCAAGAACTCTGCCAGCGAGACCTACCTGCTGGTCAACAGTCACTTTGACTCGAAGCCCACGAGTCCATCGGTGGGCGATGCAGGACACATGGTGACCACGATACTGGAGGTGCTGCGTGTGATTTCCACCTCGAAGCAGCCGTTCCAACATCCAATTGTGTTCCTGCTGAATGGTGCCGAGGAGAATCCCCTGCAGGCATCCCATGCTTTTATTACCCAACACAAGTGGGCCAAGTTCTGCAAGTAGGTGATCCAGGGAACTCCTTTGAACTCCATTACTTAACTCTTTCCTGCTTCTCGCAGAGTCGTCATCAATCTGGATGCTGCTGGCAGTGGCGGTCGCGAGATTCTCTTCCAGAGTGGACCCAATAATTCCTGGCTCGTTAAGGTGAGTGATCCTTGGGAGCGGCTTCTAAGTGCTCCTCTAATTCTGTTTTCAGTACTACAAAGACAGCGCCCTGCATCCGTTTGGCACCACCATGGGTGAGGAAATTTTCCAGACCGGTCTCCTACCCTCAGACACGGATTTTGGCATCTTCAACACTTATGGCAACCTCGTGGGTGAGTCGCGCGGAACTTCTCCACTTGGTATTTGCTCTACAGACACTCTTTGGCAGGCTTCGACATTGCACAGTGCATCAATGGCTTTGTGTACCACACCAAGTACGATGAGTTGGATGTGATTCCTCAGGGTGCGCTGCAGAACACAGGCGATAATATTCTCAATCTGGTGCGGGCCTTGGCCAATGCCCCAGAGCTGCTCGATGTGAAGGTGGGTGCACTATCCAGAGCTCCACTTCGAACTGCTTTAACCAACTCTCTCTCTCTCTCTCTCTCTCTCTTCCTGTAGGCCTTTGCCTCGGGACACGCCATCTTCTTTGACTTCCTGGGCCTGTTCTTCGTCAGCTATTCGTCCAGCAATGGCGAATATCTCAACTATGGCGTGGCTGGTGCGGCCATTATCCTCGTATTTGTATCCCTGTGGCGCATAGCTGCTGTCTCCAATGTCGCAACGGAGGATGTGCAGCGTTGGGGTATCCTGCTGCTCATTACACAAGTCGTCGCCTTCGTTCTGGGCCTGGCACTGCCCATTGTCGTGGCCTACGCGCTGGACAAGTACGGCTTGGCGCTGAGCTACTACAGTCGTCCCATACTGGTGGTCGGTCTGTACGTGTGTCCCAGTCTCGTGGGATTGAGTCTGCCCTCCACCATCTACTACACGCTGTTCAAGAATGTGAGGTTACACGGGATAACAATCCATTAGCTAAACACTGACTCTATCTATCCGCTGCAGCCCAAGGTCTCCTTTGCCCACTACATCCAGCTGGCGCTGCATGGGCACGCCGTTGTGCTGGCCGCTCTTGGCATTGCTTTGACCGCCTATGGCCTCCGCTCAACCTATGTGATTACGTGGACACTCATCTTCTACGTCATTCCATTGGCCATCAATCTGCTGACGACGCTGCACGACCGCGGCTATGCCTGGACTACCATCCTAAAGCTCTTCCAGATCGTTCCCTTCCTGTACAATGGCTATCTCTTTTACACCTTCGTTGTGGTGCTCACCCCCATGATGGGACGCTATGGCACGTAAGCAGAGCGAAAGCAAACATCAAATGCTGTTCCTATTCCCATTCCCATATCGTTTCAGGGCCACCAATCCAGACTTGATTGTCTCTGCTTTGACTGCTCTGGGCACAATTTTGTCTATGGGTTTTCTGGTATGTTCCCTTGTACTTGCTTCACCTACGTCACACTCACATGTTTTAGTGCGTTTGTGTGCGCCGGTAACATAAACAAAGCCAAAAAGTTTCATGCTTCTCTGCCGCTGCTGCAGCCGAGAATTTGCACATGGCCGAAGATGTTTCTCTGCCGAAGCCACATGCACCGACTGCGCTGCTTGAGATCGTTTCCTATGCACATAGCGCAGCAGCAACTTCGTTGACTCGGCTTTCGCAGCGGCAGAGAAGCAAGAAACGTTTCGTGGCTTCGTGTCTGTTGTTTGTGCATACAAAAGCACTTAAATATGACAGTGCCTGCATGCTCTACAGGGTTCATCAACTATAATCTACAACTGCTTGCGCATCTCTTCAGATTTTGCTTGTGAACATGTTCCGCAGACCGAGCGTTGTTTTTGTCATACTGCTGGGCGCAAGTGCGTTGACTATTTATGGTGCACTCTACACCGATATCGGGTTTCCATATCGCCCCAAGACCAACGTGGAGAGAGTCAACTATTTGGTTCGTTCCCTCTGTTCTGCTACTATGTTCTACAGGTTATATATATAGACTTAAAATTACAGCAAGTGCACCGCACCTTCTACGAGTACGATGGCACAGTCAGCCGGGATGACTCTGGCTATGTGTTCCAATTCCAGGATCGCCGTGGTCCCACTGCCTTGCAGAACTCCAATGTGGATCTAACGGGTTTGGTCAGTCTCGAAGCGGACTGCGGGAAGTACATGATGTGCGGGGTTCCACTGTACGACCATCGTTGGGTGAAGAGCCGACTGACTACAATGTGGCTGCCGCGTGAGCAGCCGATCGAGACACCATCGAGGCCCACCCTTAAGCTTTTAAGCAAAACTGTCCTGTCCGACGGCCTTACCGTGCGGTTTGAGTTCGAGCTAACGGGTCCGGATCACACGAGCGTATTCCTCCAGCCCTACGCAGATGTGACCCTTAGCCGCTGGTCGTTCCTGCAAAGCTACCTGGATAACACCACCAGCTATCCCCCTCCGTTTCACATTTACTTCTCCTACGGCATAGTCACGACCCCGTTGAACTTTTTCTTTGAACTTAAGGTGAGAATTTGACGAATTTTACAGCTGTATTTATAATTGATTTGTTTTTCATACAGAAATCCAATGGCGACTTCAACGTTGAACTGATTGAAGTGGGCTTGGCGGGACATTTTCTGCAGAGTGTGGGAGATGCGGAGAGCGTGGAGTTTGCCAATTCGTTCCCATCGTATGCGGCTATTGTACAGTGGCCAGCTTCCTATCAAAGATATATATATTAATAATATTTAGTTCAACAGCAAAAGCAGTTGAGAAATAAATCAGTTTATTCAGCAATTACTGGCTTCGTTTCCTAGTCACCCAAAGTAAATCTTGCTCGAAGTAAGACTTAAACTTAAAACATAATTGAAATATGGTTTTAAATTACATTTCCAAGCGTACCCATATTGCTGTTTAGTTTGCCATGAAAAAGCGAATGTTTATTTAGAGGCAAACAAAAAGAACGGTAAACAAAATACGTGAAAAGAAACGAAGGGAATGGAAGCGCCTGTCAAAGTTACACAAACCACACATAACACATTGACATTGAGAGAGCAGAGAGGAGAGCGCAGATGGCAGAGGGAGATCCACTCACGCAGCAGAGAGGGAGCGCCACTCACGCAGCAGCCCACATATTTGAGCAAATCTCAGCAGCGTAAGCTCCAAGCCCAAGGGCACACAAAAAGCTTCCCGTTTGGAAATTCTCATGCGTTCTTTTCCAAAATTTCCCGATACATAATGCTGTATGAAGATCATAATGCGTTCCGTCTGATCGAGCGAAAGTGTGTCTCATATTAGTCTATCAAATGTCTGCGATTATACGACCATGCATACATCAGCAGAAGGATATATGTATCCATGTTTTGCCATAAAGATTTCCCAAATACCTATACCTAGGTGATAGATTCCAAGTTATCAACAGTTGTTGAGTTGCGGTGGGTCTGGAACCATAAAGATCTCTCGCATATCAGACGAAAAAGAAACAAATCGGAGCTGCCCGAGATAGTAGCATGTACCCGTCTCAGTCATTTAAACCCCCAAAGATTAGTGGCAATTTGGGAGGGGAATCAACGAATATTCCTGCCATTATCACCCACATACATTTGTACAGTAGAAGTATATTAAAAGTGAAAAGTGTGTGCCATGTGCAATATTTGATCAATCATATAAATGGGCGCGGCTATATAGGCCCTAAATCAGTTACCGATAATACATACATATGTAGATATGTACCTACATGTGTAGATATGTACATACATGTGTAGATATGTACCTACATGTGTAGATATGTACCTACATGTGTAGATATGTACATATGTACATGCATATGCAGCGCAAATGTACGATAAGAATGCAAATTATTGGCACTTGTTTCGTTGGGCGCATAAAAGTATCATAGATTGTCCTTTATGTGGGTGCCATAAAGATCATGGAGCCTCTTATCTGCAAAAAGGCAAAGAAAGCAAGATGGGAAGTAATCGAAACTGCTTCAAGTAATGCTTCAATTTGATTGTTAGATCCAAAGTCTGTAGGAGGTGATTGAAGAGTTGTGAATAAAAAATAGAATACATTTTTAATGTCAAATTATTCGGAGAGTCACCACTCCTCACAGTTAATTCATTCATTTATTTAACATTATTTATCGAAAGATTGGGGCATGTATTTTATATTCCATTAGTTAGTTTTCTTTTTAGTTTATTTTCAAGTAAAACTCCTCTTTAGATGGAGTACAATTTGGTGTTAATGGATGGCAATTGCTTGAACCACCCTTGCAGCCCTGAACTCTGGTCAAAAACCTCTGGGTTTCAACTATCATTTGAACACGATAAATGTGCCATAAATCGGCGGGCATAAAGTGCCATTAAAAATTATCTGAATATTCTTGCGAATCGGATATATAAGCAGGTAACGCGCTATCCAAACTCTAGTCGTGTTCTGGAGTAGTTCTCAGCCGCAGCAACAGGAGCATTACAAATGGGTGACACGGAAAAATCTGTAAGGATTACAAAGGAGATGTCCGTCCTTTGATTGATTAATGATTTGTACCCACAGCAAGTCTCTTATGAGCGCATTGAAGATGGCGTCAAAGTGAAGCCACGGCAGCAGGACAAACAGGAGGAGAAAAGCTCCACGGGTCCTTGGTACTTGGCCAGCGGTTTTCTGATCTTCTGGCTGCTGCTCTTCTCTGCCGTGGTGGTGCCGCTCTTCTACCGCCTGCCCACGGCATCGACCCTCGAGGATGTCGCCAAGGGAGGATTCATTGCGGAACGAGCCTACAACAATCTCTACGAGTTCGACAAAATCGGCACCAAGGTGACGGGCAGCGATGGCAATGAGAACAAAACCGTGCAGTTCCTGCTCCAGGAACTAGCGCTGATCCAAGCGAATGTGCTTGTGGACTACTTTGACCTTGAGATCGATGTGCAGGTTACCTCCGGATCGTACCTCAAGTCCGATGCCATCTACATGTATCGCGCGGTGCAGAATATCGTTGTGAAGCTCAGTCCCAAGAGCTCGACCAGCAACACCTACCTGCTGGTCAACAGTCACTTTGACTCGAAGCCCACCAGTCCCTCGGCAGGCGATGCAGGCCACATGGTTGTGTCCATCCTGGAGGTCATTCGAGTGCTGTCCACCACCAAACAGAGCTTTGAGCATCCAATTGTGTTCCTGCTCAACGGAGCTGAGGAGAAATCGCTGCTGGCCTCGCATGGATTCATTACGCAGCACAAGTGGGCCAAGTTCTGCAAGTAAGTTGGCAGATTTTTACCACTAAGTGTGCAAATAATCCAACGATCTCTTGCCTTCCAGAGTTGTTGTCAATCTGGATGCTGCGGGCAGCGGTAGCCGTGAGATTCTCTTCCAGACTGGACCCAACAATCCCTGGATCGTGGATGTAAGCAGACGCTCGGCTCTCTCCTCTCGATCTGCTGTCTTATTTCTGAATATTTTCTGCTCCTTTGCAGTACTACAAGAAGTACGCCCTGCATCCATTTGCCACCACCATGGCTGAGGAAATCTTTCAAACGGGCATCGTACCCTCGGACACGGATTTCCGCATTTTCACCAAATATGCTGATCTCATAGGTAAGGCCTGAAGGCTGAAGCCACACTTTAATAGGCTCCAGCCTCACACATCTCTCCCTTGTTAGGTCTGGATCTGGGTCAGTGCGTCAATGGGTTTGTGTATCACACCAGATACGATCGCATTGACGTCATTCCGCGCGCTGCACTGCAGAACACCGGCAACAATGTGCTTGGCCTTGTCCGAGGTCTGTCCAATTCCACGGAGCTGCGTAACCCCCAGGTGAGCTAACTAGTACTTACCCTTATCTTTATGTCACACATCACAATGATTGCAAATTGTTTGCAGCAACATGCAGCCGGACATGCCGTCTTCTTCGATGTCTTGGGTCTGTACTTTGTCAGGTACTCGGAGAGCAATGGAGTGATCCTCAATTATGTTGTGGCTGGAGCTACGCTCCTGCTGATCCTCGTGTCCCTGTGGCGCACAGCAAACGGTTCCCAGGTCTCCGTGGGGCATGTCGTTGGTTGGTTCATTCTGATCCTTGTGCTCCAATTCATTGCCCTGCTGCTTGGAGTGGCACTGCCCGTTGTGGTTGCTTTCCTGTTCGACAAGTACGGCCTGTCCCTCAGCTACTACAGCACTCCAGCACTGCTCATCGGGCTGTACGTGTGCCCGAGCCTCATTGGTCTCAGTTTCCCCTCCATGATCTACTTGAAGCTGCAGCGGGATGTGAGTAGAGATCCGAGATCCATCCGAGATTCTCCATAACAATCCATACTTTCAGGGTAAAGTCTCCTATGCCAAGCAACTGCAGCTGGTGCTCCATGGACATGCCACCATCCTGGCCATCATCGGCATTCTCCTGACCCTCTATGGCCTGCGCTCCACCTACGTCGTCACCTGGACACTCGTCTTCTACGTCATTCCCTTGGCCATCAATCTGCTGACCACGCTGCATGATCGCGGCTTTGCCTGGACGGCTGTCGTGAAGGCCAGCCAAGTCGTTCCCTTCCTGTACAACAGCTACCTCTTCTACACCTTCATTGTGGTGCTCACCCCGATGATGGGTCGCTTCGGCATGTATGTGACAATTATGCCTTGAGTGTTCTGGAAACACTGCAAACTGATTGATTCGCGAACTCTTTTTAGGGCCTCGAATCCGGATATCTACATTTCTGGCTTGACTGCATTGGGCACAGTGTTCTCGCTGGGTTTCTTGGTGAGTGATTTCCCAGCTCTACCGCTCTGCAATGGGTACAGTTTATGCCTTCTCTGCAGATTCTGCTGGTGCATCTGTCCCGCCGCTCTGGACTCATTTTCTTCAGCCTGCTGGCGGTGACTGCCTTGACCGTGTACGTTGCCTCCTCCACGCAGATTGGATTTCCCTACCGCCCGAAGACCAACGTGGAGCGTGTACACTATCTGGTAAGCCACTCGTTGCTCCTCTGACTTCACTCGTTATTCTCTCTCGTTGTTCTGTGTGCAGCAAGCGCGTCGCGTGTTCTACGAGTACGATGGAGCCATCAGCAAGGATGAGTCTGGCTACGTGTTTGACTTCCAGGACCGCCGTGGACCTGCTCCGCTGAAGGGCACCCGAGTGAACCTCACTGGCTTGGTCAGCATGAAGTCCGACTGCGAGAAGTACATGCTCTGCGGTGTGCCCCTCAACTACAAGACCAGCGAGAAGGCCCGCGTCAACGGCATGTGGCTGCCCCGTGAGCAGCCCGTCGAAGTGCCTTCGGTGCCGGTTTTGGAGCTGCTCAGCAAGACTGTTCTGGCGGATAACCAGACCGTGCGATTCGAGTTTAGTCTGACGTGTCCCGATCAGACGAGTCTGATCATTCAGCCCTACGCGGACGTGACCATTACCAACTGGTCGTTCCTGGCCAGCCAGTTGCAGAGCAGCACCAGTCCGTACCTCATTAACTTCTCGTATGGCATCGACAATTCTCCGCTGAACATTTTCATGGAACTCAAGGTAGGAACTGGCCATCGCTTGTCTCATTGGAAACAACTTCATTCGGCATTCTCTTATTTTTTGCACAGAAATCCAATGGCGACTTCAACGTGCCCATCGTACAGGTGGCCGTCTCGGCGCTCTTCATACAGAGCAAAGGTGACGAAGCGGCTGTGAAGTTTGCAGCATCGTTCCCATCCTATGCGGTGGCCATTCAGTGGCCGGCCATTTATCAACGATACATTTTCTAAGTGATTGTATCTGGAATGAACATTTTATGTATGCAATGCCCCATAATGAGGGCTAATTAAATACTTAACAAAAGCAAAAAAAAACCCCACTCTACTCATGGTAAGAAATAACTGTCAACACATTTTGTTGTTGCAGTCTGCTCACTCTCGCTCTCTTCGCTTGTGCCATCTGGTTTCGGCTGAGCAGAGCCACCACCATTGTGCTTCACAATAACAACAACTTAGCGTTTGATCAACAGTTTGAAACCCGAGGGTGTCTCGTAAGTGCATTTGGCTGCACAGACAACAAACACGAAGCCACGAAACGTTTTCTTGCTTCTCTGCTGCTGCGGCTACACGAAGCTGCTTCTCTGTCGCTGCAGCGGTTCTCCGTGCATGGACCGAAGCCACACGAAGCTTTTTCGACTGCGCTGCCCGTGATCTTTTTCTATGCACATGCATTGCTTATACATACATACACGACTCTGTCGGCCTCTGCTTTCGATGAGCAAAAACCGAACAAGCTTTTTATTATTGTTTGTGTTTATTTTGCTTGGTTATCTCTCGAGACGAACTCTGAAGAAATTTACATATTTGCATGCATAAATATGTACAACGGTGACTTACCCAATATATCCATCACACTCTACAGCATTTGATGAAATATATTGCTTTCTGGTACATCCTGACGAGTGGTGGCAATTCTAGGAACACACCAGGCTATCGTCGCCCTCCGCTACGTCGGCTGTGGAAAAGAAGAGAGAGCGAAACGGAAGCAAGGAATCAATATTCACACTGTATCTGCAACTCGGCGAGAGCATAGTCCCCAATAATGCCAAACACGAGCCCCCTAATACCGCCTAGACCCGCCGTCAATCAATTGCCGTTGCGGAGTCCCACGCGATAAGGTGGGCTATCGCTTATCACTTACAAAGTATTTGCAGTCCGAACATCAGGGCGAAGCCGGCGAGGGCGGCTATGTAGGCGCGCCAGCCGGCATGGTTTTCGGTGAGAATTTCACAGAAGACGACATAGAGCAGGGTGCCCGAGGCGATGCCTTGCAGAATGCCCGATGGGACGCTCGGCTGATTCGGCTGCACATTCTGACTGATCCCGATGCCCACACCGATGCCAATGGGCGTGACAATCGAGAAGGTTATGAGGTAGATGATGGCCAGAGAGCTACGCGTGCGAGCCACCAGCAGTTCCATGCCCACGCAGAAGGCCAGCACCAGCTTGTGGGCAGCCACCGCCGCGAACATGAACCAAACGGTGCCGGCAGTGCCCTCCAGTCCAATGGCCATGCCCTCGAAGAGCTCATGGAGGGATAAGGCCAAGATAATACCCAGTCCGCGCATGGAGGAGCCAACGCTGTCGCTGCCCGATCCCACAGGCATGTGCGAGTGTCCATGATGATCCTTGGGCTGCCGCTCGTCTTCCCGCTGAAGCTTTGGCTCCTCGGCGCCTCTTTTGCTCACGAGAATACTCTGCCGTATGCTGTGTCCCCGCTCGAAGGCGCAACTAGCCACCGACTCCTTCCTGTCGAGCTTCTTCTGGTGGCGATGCACGACGCTGTGCATCAGCTCATCCAGAGCGTACATCAGAAAGAAGCCCGTGCAGAGCAGCATTTCGGGCAGCGCGAAGGGTGTGTCCGCTAGAACTCCGCAGGATTGCAGCTTCTCCACCACCTCAATTATCTCCGGCAACATGTGCAGGAATGTGGTGCAGATCAGCACTCCACCGCCGAAGAACAGCAGACAGCGCACCACCGTCGAAGAGCGAGTTTCCTCGGGACTCTGCTTGGTCCACTCGAGGCAGCGATCCAGCATGTACGGCAGACTGCCACAGATCACAGTGATGACAATGAGCACCACCATGGCCACCACTTTGGCCACCATCAGTCCGTGCTGGTCAACGACAGCCCTGTCCAGGGCGACACTTCCAGACTCTTCCACAAAGTTCATGTTGCCGGTGCCAAGTGCGAGAGTTGACTGGCGAGAACGGGAGCCCAAAATCAAGCACAAAACACACCTGCAACCCGCTATCGTAGTGCCATAAATTATTGGCAGTGATTGAAATCTGATCGCTGATTGATAGGAGGATGTGTCACCCAGCAGACTAAACATGTTAATTGTTATCTTTTGGACAGGTGTCGTTGCCTCCTGAACCCGCGTTTCCCTTTTTGGTGTGTACAAATCAGTTGCATAAAGTAGAGGAATTTCGGATTGTATTGGCTTATCTACGATATGTTTCGATGGTAGATTCACAGTTCATAAAAATAATGCTAAAAATAAGCCAGCTGAGGCTGGTTTAGGCCATAAGCCAGGCAACGCGGGAGGTGAATAGTGGGAACAGTAACTTATTCACCACGCGCAGAGAGAATAGAAATTCACCTTAGCAAAGACACAGCAGTGCAGTAGCAGCTCCGAGAACCACTAAGGACACACATAATGACTCCCGCCCTGGGCTTCGCCAACTGCAAGGAGGGAAAATCAATGATAGATTCGGGTGTGAATTAAAGGTAAGTAAACTTTTGAGTAACTCACTTGCTATTTGCACTCCAAACATCAGTACAAAACCCACCAGCGAGGAGATGTACACACGCCAGCCGGCATTTTTCTTGGCAACAATCTCAAAGAAAATCACATAGATGAGCGTGCCACAGGCGAGACTCTGCAGTATGCCCGACGCAGTGCTCGGCGCACTCGCGTTTGCAGTCTCGCTCACAGCAATGCCAATGCCCAGGCCAATGGGCGTGACAATGGAGAAGACGACCAGATAAATGACAGCAATTATCCAGCGGGTGTGGGCCATCATGATCTCCATGCCAATGCAGAAAGCGAGCACAAGTTTGTGGACAGCAATGGCGCCGCACATGAACCACACCGTGTCCACGCTCATCTCCAGGCCAATGGCCATGCCGCCAAACAGTTCGTGCAGGGACAGGGCCACAATGATGCCCAGGCCACGCAGCCAGTTGGGTTCCTTCAGCTCCTCCTGTACGACTGTCAGTTCCGTGTGTGGCTGCTGCTGCTCACCCTCCTCCACCTCCACCTTCACAATCACCTTTGAAACTTCCCGCTGTTTGAGCTGGCTGCGACGCACAAAGAAGTGCATCGTCTCCTCGATAAAGAACATCAAATAGAAGCCCGTGCAGAGCAACACCTCCGGCAGGCCGAACGGCGTGGGCACCAGCATGCGGCATGTCTGCAGCGCATTCACCAGCACCACCACCTCCGGCAGCATGTGTATAAAGGTTGTGGCAATGAGGACACCACCGCCAAAGTTGAGCAGGCACAGGACCACCATAAACTCACGAGCATTGCCCTGGGCGCGCTTTGTCCACTTGTAGAAGCGATCGAGCAGGTAGGGCAGAAAGCAGAACAGCAGCGTGACCACGAGCAGCACCACAATGGCCACAATTTTGGCCACAATCAACTGTGAAATGGCCATTGCGATGGCAGAGTACGGAACTTACTAGCCCAGTGACCACACATAAGACACTTTTTATAGGCGCGGGGTGTGGCCCACTTGGTATCTAGATAGAGATACTATCAGCAAATTGCCAAATACGCGTATTAAGTGCTCAGAGACACGGACTCGCGGATATCACAGGGCGAAGAGCTTAGCAAACATTCAAAATTATTGGGCTTTACGCGTAGCGCCTGTAAAGATGGATGGGATATGTGGTTGTGGGGTTGTGGGGTAGGTTTGTGTGCTGAACTTTGCCAACTGATATCTCCACTTTTGGCCAACCGAGGCCTATCAAAGGTACGCGCAAGTTGCCGCACTGAAAATTCAGCTCCGGCACATGGCAGACAGCCAAAGCTGTTGTGGTGTGTCTGTCTGTTGATCGAATTGATCCAAGTGCTATCGCGAGGAGAGCGCTTCGCCAAAGTTGTTGCCTGATAACTTCACAGCAAATTAGTTTTGCAGCTCTTTTCGTTGTTGCCAAAGGCCCAACCACACCTGACAGGCCCATCCATGTCTGTTGTGTTCTTTTTTTTGTTCGCACTCGAATGTGCTTGGGCAATATTTTGGTGTGTGTTTTACTGTACAAATGATCATCATTGGCATTTTATTCAACAATATTATCGCATTTAAATTGAATTTTATGTAATTACTATGACTTGAGTGTTTTTCTGTGCTCAACAAGGTCCTTGATTGGTGTGTACAGTCCTGTTCCTGTTCTGTTTTTGTTTCGGCGTCTAATTTAGACGATCGGCTGATGGATCGATATGCTGTGTGTGTGTGTGATTGTTGGGGATATTCAATGTTCATTTCAGGTTCTGCTACGCTCTCGTCACGAGTCGCTCCCTTCCTTGCTTCCTTGCTTCCTTGCTAGTAGATCGTGGAACACATTTCAGTACTTGCTCCCGATATCCCCCAGCAGTGCTCACGACTGCTTGGTATGCTGCACGGGTGGCGGTGGTGCCGGCTTAAAGCACTGCAGCAGAAAGGCCGTGTAGACGACAAAGGCCAGCGCCAGGGCAATCAGCGCGTACATAAAGATGTTCAACTCCGGCTGGCGGAAGCGATTCTTGCGCAGCCACTCCAGCACCTCATCCTCGGAGAGCAGATCGCCTGCGAAGGATCAATCAATGAGAGGTGCTCCGCAATCTCTGCCCCGCACTCACCTCTGTATATGCTGGGAAAACGGCGACGGAAGTACACCATCGCTGGCAGCTTGGTAACGCCCCATTTCTTGGCATAGCGCGAGTCTGCCATTTTGACAAAAGTAATATCCAGATTATCCGTCTCGCTGTCAATATTCTCCAGCTTCTCCAGCGAAGCAATGCTGTCCGGATGATTGTGTTCGTCTAGAGGGAGAGAATTAGGCAAAGATCGACTGAGATTCGGTTGCACTTACAGAAAAACACGGATAGAAATTCATTCTCCTCGAGCAGCTTGTCCAGCATTTTGCGATTGACTTCCTCTATTTCGTTCTTGATTTCGAACACATCCTGTGAGGTCAGCCATGTGATGACCTTGTCATGTTGATGCATATCCCCGTCATACAGAACGGGCACTTGCTTGCTGCAAATGGAAAGGAGTACAGAAGAGGTCCTTGGACTGGGACTGTCTGGATTTGTTCGATCTCTTACCGATAATATACCAGCGAGGGTATATTGACAATTTCGTACTTTTTGGCTGCCTCCATGCTGGCGATCTTCACGAAATCAATGCCAAACATGTCGGCCTCGCCATCGATCTCCTCCAGTTCCTCCAAGATTTCCTCGCACTCGGCGCAGTCGTCGTCATCTAAGTAAGATAATTCCTTAGCTAAGAGCTCTTGCTAAGTGCCCAATCTCTGTACAACTTACAAAAGAAAACCACCAACAGGGTGGACTCGGCCATCAGGCGGTCCAGCATGCGCTCGTTGACCTCCTCGATTTCATCGGCCAACTCCCGATTATCGTCATCGATGAGCCACTCCAAGACCGATTGCTCGTTCTGAAGATCACCCTCGAACAGCAGAGGATTGCCATTGCTAATTGGGATAAGTCTTAAGTTTGGTTTTCCTTATGCAAAGTGTACAAAACTCACCGGAAGTAGACCAAGGCGGGGAAGGTCTTGATGGAATAGCGTTTGGCCAGCTGCGGATCTTGAATCTTGACCATGTGTATGCCAAAGACATCGCATTCGTCGTCAATCAGCTCCAGCCCCTCCAATATCTGATCGCAAATGTTGCAATTGATTTTGTCTAACGAAGGGAGAGATATTATTATAAGGGATCCCCAGAAGATGAGAGTTGTTAGTGGAAAGCGGTTTGTGTGAGGCGGAAAGTAAAGAAAACGCCGTAAAACTAAGGTATTCGCGTCCAAACTAAATTCCAGCAAATTCCAACAGATTCACAACGAGTATTTTATAGAGAAACAAATTTAGTTTGGTCGTAATACGTTGTTGGAAGCCTGGTTTTAGTAGAGTAAACAATAGTGTAGATAGGTTCCACTTGGATGAGAACAGAGAACAGAGAACAGAGAACACAGAACAGAGCTCCTACTGTTGGTTAGGCACGGTTAGAGCTCAATCGCACATGCGTTGAGAGCACACAAAGCTCGCAAATAACTGTCAGCACTTCCACTCATTTACGGACACCTGTCGAAAAGGGACAGAAAATACCGATCTTTGCACTTCTCGTGTAAACAGAAGAGCGGGCTCGTTGTATGCCACATACATATGTATGCGCATAGATCACGGGCAGCGCAGTTGGCACATGCACAGCGTGAAAGCTTCGTGTGTGCAGCGACGGCGCAGCGACAGAAACTTCGTGGGGAACTATGCACAATTGCTATGCTGTTGCAGTGACTGAGCTTCGCATCGAGTAACTGCGTGCAGGTCCAATAGCTGTTGTTTTTTGTGAGACAAAAAATGTTGGTTGTTTTCTGTTTTGTCGGTGACCGCAGAGACAAGAAATGTGTTGACAGTTATTTTCGAGCTTTTGTTGAGAGTTGCGAGTTTTGTATTTGTATTTGCAGGAGTGTACACACGGAATACCTTGTTTTTGGATACGTTTTCTTTTACGCGATATGTAGCTTTGTACGAATTGGCTGGATGAGTGTTTTGTGGTGGTGGTGGTCAGGTTGCTTTCTTTAAGGCTAGAGGGTGAGCAGAAACTGCGGCAGAAGGCAGGCTGCTTTCCCTTGCGCTCTGGCGGCACTGTGTGCGGTTCAGGGATAGATGCGTATATTTGTGTGTGGTGGGTTGTGTGCCATGTTTTGTGGTCGTGGGGGGGAGGGGAATATAATTCAGAGTATGTGAGAATGTGATACAGTGCTTCCAAATGAAACAGTTTATGTGTAATGCGATCGTGTTGCTTGCTACTTACAGAAGTACACGGCCAGATACTGGGTCTCCTCCACCATGGTCTCAAGCATTTGCCGTGTAATCAGCTCAATGCGGTCCTCCGTCTTCTGTGTAATAAGCCACTGCAGCACCTCCTCCTCCTCGCTGAGCTCACCTGGGAACGAAGTTGCTTAGAACACACAAATATTTAACTGTAAAAGTGGCATGTACCCTCAAACACATTGGGAATTCCTCCCTCGAAGTAGACCAATGCCGGATACTCGTGAACGCCGTAGCCATCGGCCACCGAAAAGTCTCTGGTCTTCACGAACGTTATGCCATGCTTGTCGCAGTCATCGTCAATGTTCTCCAGCTCCTCTAGCACCTTGGTGCACTGCTCACAGCCGTCGGCATCTGCAGGTCACAGTCAGAACACAATTACTCAACAAAAACGGTACATGGGCAGCGTCTAGGACAACATACTATAGGCAAGCACTACACATAAGCTGACGAGGGGCGCATGAGAGTTTGGTGGGAACTTGTCTTCTTACAGAGGTTTACACAATACAAAGCAGAGAACGGAACATACATACAGAATACAGAGTAGGGGCAACAGGAAGAGAGCACGACTAAAGATAAAGGGTGTACGGGAATGACAGAGAGAGAGAGAGAGAGAGAGAGAGAGGGGGAGAGAAAGTGTAATGTAGAGAGGGGTTTCTAGAGAGCGTAACATTCGCTGTACAAAGTGGAGAGGTGATTGTGGTGGTGTGTTGTGGGTTGCGGTAGGTGCTGTGCTGTAGGTTATGTGGTTAAACATTCTTGGACTCATTCCAGTTGCACGATCTATACAGAAAGTTGGACTACCATCTTCGTGCTTGCCAGCAGCTGATGAATCCGTTGCTGCAGCCGCCGCTGCATCTGCAGCCCCACCGGCAGCCGCCTCGCCCGCCTCTGCTTCGACGCCAAAAGCGGCGGCCGCACTGGCAGCTCCGCCCTCCTGCTGGTGCTGTTCCCGTTCCTTTTTCAGTCGTGCCTTGCGCGCCGCTTTCGAGGTGCAAAGGTCGCACTTCGTTTTGTTCCCTACATTTTTCGGTTGGTTTTTGTTTTGTGCAATTTGTGTGTGGATTTTTGGTTTGATATTTCAGAGAGCGGATCATATTCGTAAATAGAGATAATATAAATAAAAGTCTTGTTTGGTTAGATACACAGAGAGCGCGCCAAAGTGGCTTAAGACTAAGTCGATTTTCAAGTCTAAAATGTTAACTACAAATACACAGAGTTTGCTGCAAACTGTTTGCGCAAAAGCGTGATAATCAATACCACAAAGTGCACACTGTAACTACACAAACAATTGCTAAAAAAACAGAAATATTTCAACTGACTTCAGGACTGCACATTGTACTTTGTGTGAATTGATCAACACCAAACCGAATGCAGCATTGGAGTACCTTACGAAATGGCACAGTGGGCCATGACTCTTCGGCGCCTTGGCGCCTTGGCAACACTTACAGAAGTAAACAGCGATGGAGCCCGACTCTTCGATCAGGTGCACGAGTCGTTCGCCCTCGAGATCTTCAATCACATCTCCACTTGGATCCTTTTGCGTGATCAGCCAAGTGAGGATCTGCTCTTCTTCATAAAGATCACCTACAATAAATGTAAATTTAAATGAATTGCCACAAGCAACTTTTGGCATTGATTAACGAACAACCCACCGGCGTATATGACTGGCTCCTTGGATGTGGGCTTAAAAAATACTATGGCTGGCAGTGCAAAGACACCATACTCCTTGGCCATGAGCTTGTCGTCGATCTTCACAAAGTCAATGCCCGCCTTGTCCGCCTCATCGTCAATGTGCTCCACTTCGGCGAGCACGCGTGGACACTGCTTGCACTCGTCGCTATCTGAAGTTGAGTCGAGGATCAATCTACACTCTGCCACCCTGCATGTACCGATCTTTACTCACAAAATATAACTGCCACATAGTCCGAGTTCTTGCGTATCTTCTCAAACATCTTGCGATTCACCTGCTCTATGTGATCGGTCATTTCCATATTGGCCGGGCTGGTCAGCCAGTCGAGCACCTCCTCCTCGTCATCGATGTCGCCGTCGTAGTTGATGTACTTGCCCTTGCGGAAATAGGTCAGTCCCGGTGGATTCCTGAAGCCGTACTTCTTGGCCATCAGTTTGTCGTGCATTTTGACTATATAAATGCCATACTCGGAGGCCTCGTCGTCGATTAGTTCGATGTGCCGCAGCACGCGAGGTGAGTCGGGATCGTCTTCCTTGTCTGCAAGCGCAGTAGAGGTTAGTACATTTTCTGTTTAGTTTAAATCTCTAACTCATTGGATTTTGCTTGTGTTGTTTTTTTTTCTTTTGGGCAGTTACAGTTTTTAGTGGGCGCGCTTCGAGTGCTTAACCTTTACCCTAGCCTCAGCCTTAGACTTTACCTTAGCCTTGGCCTTTTATTTCCCTGCTGTATACTTACAAAATACAACCGCTAGAAAGTCTTTGGTGCCTATATATTCAAGTAGCTGTTCGCGATCTATGAGCTCTATGCTCTGGTCCGCCTTCTGTTCGAGTATCCAGTTGAAGACCTCCTGGTTGCTGTCGAGATTGCCTAGTGGTAGACACACAAAAATAAATGCAATTAGTTGGCATTTGCTTAATCAGTTATTTGTCTAGATTTATTAGCCATTTAAAGGCACATACCTGTTGGCTGCAGTTTGTCAATCAATCATGAGTTTATCTTGACTGCTTTTCTATACATATACAAAATGAAATGTTTTCTCTTGTCTCACTTAACCCAACTCCCAGCCCGCCCAAATTAATGCCAAACGGGCAGCTTGCCAGAGGTAGCCCATTCATTCCATAATTTATGGCCACATTTGTGTGGAATTTTGTTAACAAATATAAATGTATAATAGTATATTTCCACATTTTAAAATAGTTTTAAAATCGTTTTTAATTCCCTTTGCACCCGTTTGAAAATATTTAAATCATAGCTAATTTTAATTCGCTTTTCTTTGACAAAAACAACCAAGAATTGTGTGTTGATTTAGCTTAAATAAGTAAACCCTAAAATTCATTTCATTTCGATGGCTTTTTATTGTGTATTTTTACAATTGATTGTGTGGCGCTTAATTTTTACAAAAATGTTGCTTGCGTTTCGCTTACAATTTTTATACGATTTTTCAACCGTTTGACAAAAATACATTCGCTTGAGGCTGCTGCTGTTCAACATAAAAGAATTAATAATGTGGGGCGTTTACACGTGGGTAGAATTTTAGTGACAGAGTGATGGAGTTTTAGCTAACATAAGTGATAAAGATATACATGTGTGTGTTTGTGTTTGTGTCTGTGTGTGTGTGTGTTTATGTAATATATATTCGGCATTTTGCAAATACCGATAACAAATATAACAGCGAGCTGGTAAGGCGTCGTGGGGCATCGCTCTCAGAAGAAAACAAATGAAAACTACATCAAAAATGGCTGTGTCTAGTACATTGCATGCGAGGCCATTGTTTCAGCGAGAAAGTCTTTGACTTGCAAGGTTAGAAGACATTATTTGGCCATTGCTTATGTTTATATCTAGTTACAAAATGTGCTGTACATGTATGCATGTGCTTTGGCTCTGTTTGTGTGTGTGTGTGTGTATATAGAAAATGTTTTGCTTGTAGTTTGTAGGCTCTCTACGTACATGTTCTAGTTAAAATAGTTAACAGTTGTTTGGTTTTTGCCATTGCAAATTTGTAAATTGCTTCAAAAAATATTTATCCATTTGTTCGTTTATCGTTTTCATTTTTGTTTCGTTTTTGCTTTTAGCTGCCGCTTTGCCGTCGGCTTTGGCATCAGCTTCGGTCTCCGCTTTGGCTTCGGCTCTTGCTTTGCCTTTAGCTCTGGCTTCAGCTGTGGTCTCTGCTTTGGCTTTGGCTTTGGCTTCGGCTGCTGCTTGGTTTTGGCGTTTGCTTTGGCTTTGGCTTCAGCTGTGGCTTCGGCTTTGACCTCTGCTTTGCTTTGACTGCGGCTTCGGCTTTTGCCTCTGCTTTGGCTTTGCCTTTGGCTTCTGCTCTGGCTTCAGCTTTGGCTGGAGCTTTAGCTTGTGCTTTCGCTTTCTTTAAATTAGTCTAGCTACATAAAATATTGTATGTAAATGGTATTTATATACTGTGACAAAAAAGTAGTAGTATCAAAAAGTGTACGCTCTCGTTATTGACAATTGCTGATTGGTTTTTTTTTGTTTGTTTGTTAATAACAATAACAGCTGACTAGCTGGCTAAATAGTAGATAGGTAAACTAGTGAAAGTTCTCAGAAGTTGTGTTGTTTTGGTTTTTGTTTGCTGCATTAATTGCATTTAGTTTGAACAAAGTTTTTTTGTTGTAAAATGCAACAAATTGTTTTTGGGTTTTAGTCATAGACAACCACAGTGCTGGGCGCAGATCGTTGCGAAGATTTGTAGATTGTAGCGAAAAATATCAACAAAGTTTATGTTAGTGTTTGTGTTTTTGTTTTCTTTTTTCTGTTTTTATTTTATTTTGAGTTGCGTGTGAAACTGCTATCGAGAGATGGAACAACGAGACACCAAGGATGTTGTACATGTGTGAGTGTTTTTATACATAATTTATATACACACAGCCATACGGATTCACAGGTTATTATTTCTCAGTTACTGTGTCTTAACGGGCAGTCACGTGTCACACATTGATTGATTGGATGGTAAAAAATATTTTTTTTAAATATAAACCTGTCATTGAAGGTTCTTTTTCTTTTGGTGCAGGCTATGCAGGCATTGGGTTTTTGTTGGTTTTTGGTAGTGTTTTTTTTGTTTTGGTATCGGTTGCAGTTTGGGTATGGCATTTTCATTCTATTCATACAATCACTATTCAACTGATTTGTTTGCAAAACTGCGCTTTATGCTCAGTTTCAAAACTGCCTTACTCCCACAGTGAGATATCCTGAAAAATGAGGTCATACAAATTTTTTAGTCGATTTTGGAAAAAATTAACGCCTGCAAGACACAAAAAGAGAGAGAAAAAGAGAAGAGAAATATAAACATATAAAGTAACGACCAAATTGTATGTCTGTGTGTGTCTGTATGTGTCTGTGTAAGAACAACAACAACAAATATCGATGGGCATTGGTACGGAACAATGAGAGAGCTGACTGGAGGAGCAATGGTCTAAAAATGGTCTAAAAATGGTCTAAAAATTGGTTGTGGTCTGTGCTGTGTCTTGGCGGGTGAATGAGGGGAATATAGTCCGATAGTCCATGGACTACGTACCGGTTTTCACATTCAGCTTGCCGGACTTCTTCGATGACTTTTGCTTCTGCTGCTTCTGCTGCTTCTCCACCTCCAGGGACTCATCGTCATCGTTCTTGGCAACGGGCCGCTTGCCAGCCTGCGGCTTGTTGCTGCCACCGCCCGAACGCTTGTTGGCATAGGAAACCTTCACCAGTGGCTGCTCATCATCGTCATCATCATCGTCGTCATCATCATCAGGAGCCTGGCTGCGCTTGGGTTGCTTCTTGGCTGGCACTGTCCTGCTGCTGGTTGGCTCCGGTTTCTTTGCTGGCTTGCTGGCTGCCGATGCTGCGAACTGGAAGTTGCCGCCGCCGCCGACGCTGCCGCCGCCCGACCGCTTGCCCTGGTCGCCGTCGCTGTGTCCAATGCGCTGGGCCGTCATTTTAGGAACTTTCGTTGACTTCTCCAATTTGGTTGGACAGCATTGGAATGGTTTGTAATCGTTGGGCACGAAATTGTTGCCGCGCTTAGCTGACTGGCCGTCATGGCCCAATCCAACATAGAAACATTCGTCATCTGTGTGGGCAAACAAACAAAAACATTTTGTCAGATTGTTTTAGTTTTAAAAGATTGATTTTTGTTGTTTAATTTAATGTCTACTTATTTATTTTTTGGTTCACTAACAACAGAAGGTTCATCAGAAGAATAACAGAACGTTAAAAAAAAACAAGAGTGCATCGGAGAGTAGGCGGAAAAAAGAATACAAAAAATAGAATGAAAATCTCGTTAACTTGCTTTCAACAGGTGTTTCTCTTCCGATCACACAGAGAGCGCGAACGCGAAGAGAGAGAGCATAAGAGAGACAGTGAAAGAGAGCAGTTAGTACGATTTCGATTCGATTTTTCATCATTTTCAAACTTGAAAGTTGAAAGTTTCCTTTTAATTTGTTTGTTCTAGAGTATAAGAAGCGTGCTTGAATGAATGGAACAACAGAATTTGAATTTGAATTTGAACTTGTTTTTACGACTGTTCTACGGTAGATATCCACAACTAATAACTGACAAAATGCTTTTGATGCTGACTGTACACGGTAATCGGATTTTTCAGATAGATTTCAGATTTCAGATTTCTATTTTCTTTTTTTTTTTCTATATTTATCGAGAGCTTTACATTTTTGTAGCTCGAATTTCACTTTTATCGTTTGTTTTGCATTTTTGGTTGTTTTTGTTTTATGTTTTTTATATAGATATTTTTATAGGTCAAAGCGGGTTTCGATATTAATCATTATAGATAATTAAACAAAACAGAACAATCACTTAAAAGTATTAAGAGCAAATAAACTAAACCAAAAAACAGAATTTGTTAACACATTTTCAAAATTTCCTTCGATTGATTTTTTGACAAACAAAGAGACGATTGATAAATAGTTTCAAACATTGTGTCAGCTATGATTTTAAATATTTTCTTTCGGGTTTCTTTTGGTTTTTTGTTCAATTATTCTGCAATTTTTTTGTTGATGTACCAAAAGGAATTCTTAGACCTAATAACTTAAGAGTGTGTTTGGGGTTTAAAGCTTGGGTTAGGGGTTAAACATTCAGAGAAGGGGTAGACATTGACGGGGCTGGGTTTGAGTATTATTGGCCATGGCTGTGTGTGTTTCCCAATTGATTTTGTTTGTGTGTTTCCCTCACATGAGTATTTCTTTAGCACAAAAGCTACGCGCTGCACAACGACTACGAAGGCTGATATTTCCCTTCTATATAGAAGATCAAATATCGTATGTTTATATGGGAGGGCACTGGTTACCTGTGCGGAATACATGACTTTTTGACTTCCTTTCACGCAAGTCTGTAGATAGACAATGAAATTGTAACTGTAGTCGAATGTTGCGAGTGTTTCGTTTAAGCACTTTCGCCTGTGCTGTGTTGCCTATGGTGTTTGTCTATGGTATGTCTGTGGTGTATTTGCCTATGGTGGGGAACTTGGGTTTAGGGTAGAGGAGAGGAGAGGACAGAGAGCGTGCCAGTGGTTGCTTGGATTCAACATGGCACAACTTCGGTTAGTGGCAGCAATGGCAACTCACATTCAGGCATTACCTATTTCATCGTTAAGCCGACCCGAGCATAGATCAGCCAGACGATGTATCGTACGGCCCTTGGCCGTGTGCCTATATTTAGGCTTACTTTTAAGATCTTCTTCTTCGTCTTCGTCGTCGTCGTCGTCGTCGTCCTCGTCATCGTTATCATCATCGTCTTTGTCATTGTCTTTATCGTTATCGTTATCGTCCTCGTCGTCATCGTTTTCGTCGTCTTCGTCCTCGTCATCATCATTATTTTCATCATCCTCTTCATCGTTATCCTCATCATCATCATTATCATTATTGTCTTCGTCGTCGTTATCTTCATCATCATCTTTATCGTCATCGTTATCTTCATCATCATCATTATCTTCGTCGTCATCGTCATTGTTGTCTTTATCATCATCATTATCATCATCATTATCGTCATTATTATCATCATCATTATCTTCATCGTCATTATCTTCATCATCATCATTATCATCATCATCATTATCTTCATCATCATTATCGTCATCATCATTATCTTCATTATCATCATTGTCATCATTATCTTCATCATCGTCATTATCCTCATCGTCTTCATCATCATTATCTTTGTCATTATCGTCCTCGTCCTCATCGTCATCACCATTTTCTTCATCGTCCTCATCTTTTTCATCATCATTATTATCGTCATCGTCATTGTCCCCGTCCTCGTCATCGTCATCGTTATCGTCATCGTCCCCGTCATCGTCATCATCGTGAAGTCTTTTGCTCTTTCGCAATCTTTGCTTTGTGCGTATCGCTAGCTGCAGGCGCTTCAATCGCTCCCGCTTATCCTCATCGCTCTCTTTGGGATAGCGCAATTTAATAATCTTCTCATCACTTTCGTCATCATCGTTGCCTATATTTGAAAAGTTTCATTACGTTTTGCACACTGACATGGCATTCAACGGGGTAGATGATGATCTTTTGCATGTTTCTCTCTTTTTTTTGGGACCTAATTCAAACTGGTTTTGTGGTGGCTTATGAGCGTGAGTTAGAAAAGCAAAAGAAGAAAACATTTTGGAACAAGGAACGCTTACTCTTTTGATTGATTAACCACTGCAGCACACGATTTTCGTTTTTGAGATTACCTAAAGGGGGGAAAGCGATTACAATCTTAAGTTCTTAGAGCTGTGTAGAGCCATGTCTCTACTCACCATCATACATAATCGGAACACCCGTCTCGTAGTAGACCAACGCGGGGAATGCGAAAATGCCAATCTCATGGGCCAGCTTCACATCATTCGATTTGACAAACTGAATGCCATGCTTATCGGTGTCATCATCAATGTTTTCCAGCTCATCCAAGATATCCGAACACGTTTCGCATTCATCATCATCTGGGTGGGAAGAAAATTGAGTGAAGTACAAAATATTTGAGACTTTCTTCGGGTGCCACTTACAGAAAAACACAGCCAAGTGCTCGACATCGTTGATCAGAACCTGCAGTGTCTTGCGATCCACCGACTCAATGACATCCGCGGTTGACTCGTGCAAGTCAATAACCCATTCCAGAATTTCCTCTTCCTTCATCAGGTCACCTGGGATAAAGAGAACGTTAGATAGATCTTTTGCTGACGATCATTTGCCTTTCTTACCGGTGTAAATTGTTCTAAACTTATGTCTATAAAATGCAAGTGCCGGCAGACCGGGCAAATCGTATTCCTTATCAATATCATCATCGGATGTCTTCACAAAGTCAATGTCTTTTTCCTCGCACTCATCATCGATGTTCTCCAGCTCGTTGAGAATCTTCTGTGCCTTCTTATCGCCTTCGGCATCTGAGGGTAGAGAGCACAAAGGATTGGTAAGAGTTTCTAGGATAAATTTGAAGCTAATTAAGTCTCACAAAAGAACACCACAACGTGATCGTTTTCAGCCAAAATCTTGTCCAACATTTTCACATTGACCTCCTCGATCTTGCCGGGAATCTCCAGCGTCTCATCATCGGTAATCCAAGCCAACACCTCATCCTCATCGTCCAGATCTCCGGTAAAGTGCAACGGATCGCGATTCCTAAAGAACACCAAACGTGGATAGGTCTTGACGTTGTATTTCTTCGCGACTCCCGTATCCTCGGTGGTCACAAAAATGATGCCCGCCTCGTCCAACTCATCGTCGATGGTTTCCAGTGCGTTCAGTGTGTGATCACAGGTCTCGCCCGGCTCGCAGGGACCCGTGAAGAAAACGACAACATATTCATGTTCATTGATTAGATTGACGAGAATCTCATCGGTGACCTCCTCAATGGTGGCGGTTTTCTTCTGCACCAGCAGCCACTCCAGCACCTCATCCTCGTTCATCAAATCGCCCTCGTAGAGAGCGGGGATTTTGTTCTCAAAGTAGATGAGAGCTGGCAGATGGTCCAGGCCGTACTCCTTGGCTTCGGCGGCATTATCAATGCGCACAATGACGATGCCCTCCTTCTCCAGCTCATCGTCAATGTTCTCCAGTTCGTTGAGAATGCGCATGTCCTGTTTGTCGTCTTTGTCATCTATGGAGAGATTAATTACAGATAGGAACAGGCATGCAAGTTTTCTGTTTTACTCACAAAAGATCACCGCCAAATGTTCTGTATTCTCAACCAATTTATCCTTCATCTCATCGGTGACTTCGGGAATCTCTGAGTAGCGCTTCTGGTGCACCAACCAACCGAGCAGCTCATCTTCTTTCATCAGATCACCCTCGTAGATGTGTGGAATGCCACGCTCGAAGAGTACTATCGATGGTATCTCATCGATGCCCCATTCTTTGGCCTCCTTGTCATCATCGATCTTGACAAAGGCAATATCATTCTGATCGCACTCATCGTCAATGTTTTCCAATTCTGCGAGGATTTTCTGTGATTTCTTTTGATCTTTGTCGTCTGTGGAGAGTTGCAAAAGGTTAAACGAGTGTTTGGGCAGGGAATGGTTGCTATAAAAGGAAGCTAACTGGAGCCTAGACTTGACTTGTAACTGGAATAACCTAAGGAACTAAACGGAAAGGGGTCTTAGCTTAAAAGTGGATTAGTTTTTAAAGCGCCTTTTTGTTTGGATTACTTGGCGGCACATCGAGCAGAGACGCACATCCCAGAGCTACAAAACAACACCAAAGATCTGTACAATATCTACAGAGGGGTGGTTCGGTTCCATAACCATATCCTAGTCGCGATTTGGGGTCTGAAATCACTTACAAAACAACACAGCAACATGTGGCATTTTCTCTATAATAAGATCCAACATTTCATCGGTTATGTCTTCGATTTGATCGGAACTCGTTTGATCTGTTAGCCACTTGAGTAGCTTCTCCTCATCCTCCAGATTGCCCTCGTAAATGGTTGGAATGCCTTTTTCAAAGTATATCAGTTTAGGAACTTTATTGATGCCATATTCAACGGCCTCCTCGGGATTGTCAATCTTCACGAAGGTAATGCCCAGAGCATCGCACTCGTCGTCAATGTTCTCCAGCTCTTCGAGCACTTTCTGGGACTTTTTGTCATTGTTGTCGTCTGGAAAGAGTGGCGAGTGAGGAGAGGTTCTGTGTGTGGGATGGTTTCGGGATGTGTAATTACAAAACAGCACTGCTATGACGCGTCCCTCTTTGATCATTGTATCGAGCATTTCATCGGTGACATCCTCGATCTCATCGCGTTCCAATTGGCTCAGCAGCCACTTGAGGATCTGCTCCTCATCCATGAGATCGCCGTCGTAAACATTTGGAATTTCTTTTTCAAAGTAAACAATTGCCGGAATCTGCCAGAAGCGAAGAAGGTGATTTTTGATTGCTTTTTCTTTGGCTTTCTTTTGTGGTCTTCCCTACCGAATCAATTCCATAATCGCCTGCCGCCTTGGCATCATCAATTTTGACAAACTGTATGCCATGCTTGTCGCAGTCGTCGTCTATTTGTTCTAGCTCCTCCAGCACAGTCATCGAGTCATCATTGCCATGATCATCTGCAGATTATGAACAGATTGCAGATTGATCTTTGTTTTTGGCATTAGGAATCAATTAAACTACGTACAAAACAGCACCACCAGATTATCAATGTTGCTGATTAGTGTTGAGAGCGTCTTGGAGGTGACATCCTCGATCACATCGTCCTCGTCGCCCGTTGATTTATTTTGCACCAACCATTCCAAGACATCCTCCTCACGTTGGAGTTCACCTGCAGACACAGGACACATGAATAGTGTGTGTATGTATGTGTGTGGGGTATGGAGGGCTCTAGCTACCTTCGTATATGATTGGTGTCTGATGGCGATAGTAGACAAGCGCCGGCAGCCCACCCAAATTGTATTCATCGGCCAGGGCCTCGTCGTGTATCTTGACGAATCCAATGCCCAGCTGATCGGCTTCATCATCAATATTCTCCAGCTCCTGCAAGGCCTTGGCACACTTGCGGCATTGCTGCTTGTCTGGTTGTCCGATGGCATAGAATGTGGCAAAGCAAAGGTTCATTAGCATCGACTGCGGGACTGAGTAAAGTCTCGTACGGGTTTGGGTTTTGGGCGCACAACATTGCATGGACATTCTCGGATTATGTTGAGTTTGTTGGATTATTACGTGCCACATGCAGTAGCAGCCGTAGCAGCTGTGGTAGGGATCGTGCGGATGTGTTACTCAATCGGCCCCTGCCTGTACCCTCTTTCGTTTATTTACACAATTGTTTGTTTATGCAGCAGCCGCACACAGCTCTCTCTCTCTCTCTCTCTCTCTGTGTGTGTGTGTCTGTGTGCAACCTGTTGCAAGTTGCTTGGCTTGTCTTGCCAACGGAAATCACTTCAAAGGCAGAACCAAAAATAAAATTCAAAAAGAAATAAGCTCTCGTTCTCACTTCTGCCTGTTTCCCTCTACTTATTCACGCTTGCTACATTCATCATCCATTTGCTCTCTGTGCTCCCCTTTAGCAAGCTTTCGCTTGCTGCTGCTGCGTATACGTAATATTTATTTGATTTTCTGTTGATTTTCCCGTGAACTTGCTGCAACTCTTTAGCTATGTCTTTAGGGAACTTGAATGCTGGAGCAAGTAGTGCCCAGCTGCGGGATATCCGCCATTTTCCATGTGGTTCTGCGTGGGTTTGGCTGTCCCCAAGGTCAATGCACACATTCGCTCTCATAATTTACTGCACAGTGTGTTCGGCACAGGCATAGAGAGCATCACTCTAGAAATATTGTGAGGACTTGGACGCGAACAGACTCGAAACTGAACTAAAAATAGTGCAAGTCAGTTCGGGGCAGTGCACACATGTAGTACACATCTACATATGCACATGTAGCACCCATGTATGTATTATATTATGCAGCATTTGCATTTAGCTGGCGACAACTGAGGATCTGCCGCCTGCCCATAAACATGCCCGCACGTTGATGTATTGCTGTATGCAAAAGCAATTAAAACTGCTGTCTGTCTGCACCGCCCCATTGCAGCAGAGGGGCGGGGGCGGGGGCGGGGGGTCAAAACAATGGGCCAACATTTCGTGTTCTTCCCTCACCTACATGTACCACAACAACAGCAAAAAGTGCCGTCTGCGTTTGATAAAAATATCTATAAGAAAGTGTAGCAAAATGCTACACACATATCGAGTGTACATGTGTATGCCAGATATTTGTGTGTAAAGATCCACTCTATAGTTAGTTGTTCAGCCAGAGGAGCCGCAGAAAAAACATTTTCTTGGCCGACCAACTGCTTGAGTTTTTTTCTATTTTTAAACGCCAAAATTGTAGGTGGCACAACAACAGCACAAACAACAGAAATCGAAATAAATAAATAAGTTTGGCTCTCCCTCTACTTTGTTGCGTGTGTGTGTGTGTGTGATAAATTTATGTTTATATTTGTTATAGCTATAGAAAGATTTGCCTTACTTTGTGCCGCAAACGCTGGACAAGGCCAACAAGCGGCAGATTCGTACATAAATCCTTGCATTGGATTATGCATACATACATATGTGTGTTTCAGCACTTTCAGCATTTTCATTTCAATTGAAAATCATTTTTTCAATTATTTCTCTTGCCTGTTTCCCCCATTTTGATTGTTCGTCAAATCCCACAGACGACTTGCACACACAAACATAATCTGGCGCCGAGCCCAGACACTCATTTGCAGGCATTTCTGTTTATTATTATACGTATACGTAATATCCGTGGCTGTCAGAATCTAAGACTTGCTCCAAGAGATCACAGCATAAACTGTGACAAACTTCACTCATTTGTTGCCATTAAAAACTAATCAAAAGTTGATCCAAACGCAACCCAAAGGTAGGAAATTAGCAAGCAGCGACACACAGCAGACTGACAATGGTTTAAATATAGTTAGTATAAGGAGACAAATTCTGTACATATTTACAACTATTTACACATCGTTTCATGGGGGGGCATATTTAGGCAGTAACTTTCAGGGGTAATTATGGAAATTGGAAAGAATTAATCAGAGGAAACCAAACAAGTTTGGGTCGGAAGTGGAGTCACACAATCGTGGGGGGGGGGAATGCACTTACCCATCACCCGAGGCGGGCATGTTTCATGATCTGGACCTGCAGAGTCGTTCGATATAGAAGAATATATAACAAATATAATCAAATTTGCGGCTCAAAGACAGGGTTGGGGGAAGAGGCACAAAACACCGCCGGTAAGAAATTACAAGAAGAAAGTTCAGTTTTTGCCGCCGTTTTGCGTGTTTGCGCCTAGAGTTAGTCACAAGTTAAATACGTACAGAGAGAGAGATAAATAGATACATAGATAGATAGATAAATAATTGTTGTTGTTTTGTTGCTGTCTATACCTAAATTTGTTTACTTTTTAGTCACAAGTTGGAGGAGCTATAACTGTGTGTTTTGTGTACGCTAAAAACTGCAACTGCTTTTCGAAAATAGAACATCATCAAGTCAAAATTCCAGCAAAAAGATAGATATAAAAATGGTTCATGGATGTAAAGAGACGTTTTGACTTACAGAACAGCACAGCCACAAAGTCCGTATCCTCGATGATCTTTTGCAGTATCTTGGCATTGACCTCCTCGATGCGATCGGGCAGATCCATGGCCTCCAGTGAGGTTAGAAAATCGAGCACGCCCTCCTCGTCCATGAGATCGCCATCGTAGATGATGGGCTCCTTCTCCCTATTAAGTATGGGTGTGTGTGCTTTACAACACTGGTTTCTGTTTGTGCTAGTAGACTGTACCACCCACCTGAAGTACGTGAGTGCTGGGAAATTCTTAATGCCATATTGCTTAGCTAGTCGTTTGTCGTTTATTTTTACAAAGTCCACACCGAAGGAGTCGGTGTCATCGTCTATTTTTTCGAGTTCCGCTAAAACCTTATCACAGGTCACACAGCTGCGCGCATCTGCAAGAAGGAATAATAATAGATAATAATAATCTTTGGCTGCCAGACAAAAATCAGATAGAGATGCAGACATCAATTGACAAGCGGCAACTGTCGCCTGTGACGCCAGAGGCAGCAACCGCAACGGCAAAAGGCAAATGGCAAGCAGCAAGCAGCAACCAAAATGCCCCAAAGATTATTCATGACTATATTAGATGGAGGGATGCATCATCATCATCAGAGCAAAGTGGCAGAAGCAAAAGCAGAAGCAGAAGTCACAGCCGTATGAATGAAATGAAATGAAATGAAATGACAGCCAGAGCCAGGGAGCAATTCATTGCTATTAATTCGGCCAACAACTGCCGACAAATATGCTAAAATTGTTAAATTAATTCATAAAAATTGTGTGGCCGCTATTAGGGAAATGCAACACAAACACAAACACAGTGGGCCAACATCACTCTAAGTGCATCGGGTGGTTGCACCAAGCCAGAACAGGCATTACACAATCCAATGCTGAATGAACAGCAAATTTTCGAGTATTTTGGCTGTATCTGTATCTGTATCTGTATCTGGATCTGTCTTAATGGCCCAGCCAATATACGTAGCAGATGCAAATTAATCGATTCGATTTTGTAAGCGTTAAGCAGGAAGTCTGCTGCGAGTGTTTTCACAATGGATTGCAATAAACTGAATAGCGTTTTTCCCATCAACAAACAATAAACACAGTTTGCTGCATATTGCGGATCTCGCTTTTCCCCAATTTGATTACCAAAAGGAAAAACCATCGAGAAAGTGAGACAATGAGCTGCCAATTGTTCCATGATCATTTTTCGTTTGTGTCTTTGCCCAAGGCTCGGGCGTTTTTGGTTTTCAAATGTTTTCATTGTCAACAATTATTTTTGGAATTGCCGCCAATGCTAGGCGATACATATAAGCGAGGCATCTCCGAGGCAACAAAATATGTAGAATTAGCTATCTATAGCGTGTTTATTAACTTTGACATTGGGGGGCATATACAGCCCGAAGGCGGAGTCTAAATTTAAAGGCATTTGGTTTTGGCAATTTGTTTATGCAAAAAGCTAATGGGGAAAGGTAATTTCGAGCGCACCAAAAATAGCTCAAAACTGAGTCGTAAAAGTGCTCTAAAAGAGGTCATGAAACCTGGAAGGAAGTGAGAGTTTTCCTCAGCGTTTTTTCGTGCCAAACTAGCAACAAAAAACAGCATGAGGGAACAAATATATAAAGCAAGAAAATTGCTATGGCGAACGCAGCAAAACGAAGACGGCAATTTCTCCCAGCCAAAAAGCTATTTCTCTCTCGACTCATAAACAGAAAACGGCAGACGAGCAACGTATAGTGGTGGGGGGATGAAGGGGATGAAACAGGGGGAACGGGAACGAAAATAAAATAAAAAATTAACCAAATGAAAATCTGTGAAAAATTTCGTACAGCGAATTTTTCAAATATTTTGTGGTAGTATGTGAATGCTGTGAATTTTTACTAGCGAACATTTTATATAATATGACCGATCCGTTGGCTTCTTGTTACTATTAAAAGCTTGATGCCCGGACCCGTTACTTGCTCCACATGTCACACACGAACGCACGCACGCACGCACACTTGCAGCATAGATGTATGTGTATTTGTATATGCTAAACCGGATCACTTACACCAGAATACAGCAACGTAATCCTTGTCGGCCAGAAGCTTCTCCAATTGCTTGGCGTTGACCTCTTCGATGACGGCCTCTGGCTCAAGCGGCGCTGCGGCTGCCGCTGGCTGCGATCCTTTCTTTCCGTTATTAGCGCAATTCACATATCCGGGAAAACTCAGTGCCAGCAGAGCACACGTCACGAGCAATGTCACAGTCTTTAATCGGGTGAAAGTCATCTTTCGATTTCCCTTCAGGTATACAGGTTCTTGGCTTCTACTTTAAACCTTTAACTCGGACATGCGGGCGTGTGTCGATGTTGCGCGCTCTCCTCCTTTTGTTTGAATCTATTAATTAATGTCGTTTGGTTATTGCTTTTTTGTTTTTGTTCGTTATTAAAATTGATATTCCTTTGAGCATTAAGGCACTATTTTTAGTTGATAATGGTATTTCTTTCTGTCGCAATTTATTTTATGTATAACAATTTTTTGGTACACACAGGCAGAATATATATACATACACATATACAGGGTATATACGTGTGTGTGTGTGTGTGTGTGTGTGCGAGAAAAATTAGATTATATACACATATATATATATCTATATTATATTCTTGCTCTTGCTATTAAATGAACGATTTCCGCGGACTGTACTCTATTGGTTGTCAGATTTTGTTTCACTCCGTGCAGAGGTCCGCTCGCAACTGAAAGTATTTTGGTGAAATGCCTGTGCCATTCAAGAGGCCTTGCCAAAGCTTTAGGGATCTTGTGTTTCGGGCTGCTGCAGCTTTTTTTTCTTGGCTTTCACCGCCTGCTGCCCCTGCCCGAAATAGCTTTCGGAATGAGCGAGGGAGCGACAAGTGGGCCGCTGCATGATCGTGCGAGGAATGTGGTGAAAAAATGTACGGAGAGGCGCGAGAGTTTTCTCTACCATTCCCTTTTGGACTGCACTTCTTTGTTTATGCATTGTGGCTCTTTTATACATACAAAAAGTCGTATATAAATATGGATGTGCTATGCTCGGTGGTCTTGCGAAGTGTGGAACAAAAACAAACGCGAATAAATATGCGCACACGCGGGAGTTTCATTTGAGCGAGGGAAGATTTGATTAAAATTCCCATTCATCAAGTGAAAGAGATAGTGTTGCAGCTAATTCGAATATTATTTCCCGCGCTTTCTCATTTGTTAACTTAAATTTTAACTGAAATTGTTGTTTTTCACTTGTCGCTAGCAAACTATCGATATGAGCAGTCAGCTGATTGGGTATTTTTTAGTGCATTTTGAAGCTTTTCGATTATCGACAATCGAAATCGGTCCTGAGGGAAATAACTACATACCCTTGTTTGAATACCCTTGTATTCACACAGGAATTACGATATTAAGTAATAATTAGCTCTAATTCGGTGGCGCTTCGCATAACCTATCAGTAACCTGAAATTTTCACATTAATTAATGAAAGTGTTAAGAAGTTAAGAAGTTAAAAGTGGGTAAATAACGTAACATTTTTTTCGCACTCACGTTGTTTGCTTTTATATCTTGTTGACCATTGTTGTTTGAACGCTATTTGAACCAATTTAGTCAGAAGAAGTCCTAAAAACAAATACATTTTGTGGACAATTGATCCAGAAGTTTGTTATAATTATAGTTACAGGGCTGGGAATCTTAACTAGCTTGTAATATTAAACAGAATATCAAAACCGAGGAATATGTTTGGAATCGGTATTTATTGGCGGTATATTTAGAAAACTATCAGGTATATTTGGGTATATTGCTGATGGTCAGACAGTATACTTTATCGATAATTCCGCGGTCGCCTAGTTCGGTGGACAAAAACAACTAATTTTCGGTCCAAACAAATGCAAATTCAATACGTTCGTACAGCGGCTGTAGTGCATTCAAAATTATCAGTAAACTATCCATGGTCCAAGTAAATCAACAAACCCTTATCGCCATCAAATTCAAAGTGTCTAAGATCCAACACAGCCCGTGTGTGTACAAAAATCGATCGAAGAATCTGTTTGACTTAAGGTAAAACGAGAAAAGCATGAATTAAAGGCAGATCACTGAGGTATTCCTTGCTGCAAGAGGCGTTCTTTGTATCGACGCGAATAGATATTGGTTCACCTTGAACCTAGCAGTGCTGAAGGGGCCGAGCAGCCGCATACCAAACACGACCCAGTCAAACATATAGAAAGAAGCTCGTGTGTACATGTGTTATGTTGTGTGTGTGTGTGTGTGTGTGTGTGTGTGTGGTGGTACATGTGTATGCATAAACATCACGCCCACTCTCAGTGCTGCAGACGACAACAGCTGTTCGAGCGTCTACTAGCTTCCGCTTTCTGCAATGCTGCAAGGCAAACCGAAATATAAAATTTGAATGTCTTCAGTGTAATAATTAATGGCGCAGTTTCAGCCCCGAGCGCCCTTATCGCTGCAAGCGGGTGGTGGTGGGCCGGCGCTCTCTGTGTGTGGCAAGGCGAAGGTGAAAGTCATCAGCTGATAGCAGTTAACCGACCGAAACCCGTTATGCATAGCAGCTGTTTCGTATCATTTCCATTTAATCGCGCAGAAAATCCCCAATCCCCCATCCACTGCAGGCTTTATCCACACACACCACAGACACACACCCATTTGTCCGCTCAAGACTTTGTTGGCGACACTTTTCCCCCACCCAGACGTGCTCAGATTTTGTAGTGCTTTCTGCTATTACGCCGCCTTTGTGCTGCTGTTTTTTTGTTCACTTAATGATTGTAGGGTGTAGCAGCGAGTCTTGTAAATTAGAAACCTTCCGCCACAAGTGGTTACAGTGCCAGTTGCGTTCCAGAAACTAATAATTGAGCATCATCTCTGTGTGGGACTTTGCAGGGTGCACGACAACTTGACGGCTTTTATGTGATTACTATGAAATTGGATGAAATTGTTGGATGGTAAGCCACATTGCACATTGCACCATGCACCATGCAATTATTTATTATATTTGTATGTTCCCCATTTAGGTACCAGAAAAAAATCGGCACCTATGACAAGCAAGAATGGGAGAAGACGGTCGAGCAGCGTATTTTGGATGGCTTCAATAATGTCAATCTAAAGAACACCAAGCTCAAAACGGAACTGATTGATGTGGATCTAGTGCGAGGTGACAATTAGCAATGCTAATCAATTATTTAATGTTAATTGTTCTGGTTTAATCGTTAGGTTCCACATTTCCAAAGGCCAAGCCCAAGCAATCGCTGCTCACTGTCATTCGTTTGGCCATTTTGCGTTACCTGCTGCTGCCTCTGTATGCACAATGGTGGGTCAGGCAGACGACGCCGAATGCCTTTGGCTTCATACTGGTGCTGTATCTCACCCAACTGATGAACTGGGCCATCTACATCCTGCATGGCAATCGCATTGTGCCAGCATTGAGCAGCGATCAGCAGAATGCCACGCTGTACGGCGAACCGGAGGCCGATAAGCAGCAGTCGGAGGAGCATGATGACATGCTCAGCGCTCTGCTCATACCCTGCGCTCTCAGTCTGATGATTAGCTTGATCCACTCACAGATCGTGGCCACCAACAATGCGGCAAGTGGTGGTGGAAATGGCGCCGCCAAAAACAAACTGCGTCGCTTCTCCATTTCCAACTTTAACGAGAAGTCAGCTGCAAGGGAGCCACGACTGCGGCGGAGGAAGAAGTTTGTGCGGTGAGTAGGGCGAGAGTCTATAGAGAACATAAGTTCATGCATTCTCCTTGCAGTATACGCCAGCCAGAACCGGATTTGTCTCATACCAGCAGCAACACAGCGCTGCCAGCGCGACGCAGTGCCACAGAAGTGCATTCAAAGCCGCCCACACCCATCAGCAGCAGCAGCGCTCCCGTGCAAGAACCTGATCTGCCCTCAGCCACCACTTCACCTGCCGTCGCCAGCAAGCAAAGCAGCAATGAGGAGACCACAGTCGTTACCATGCAGAAGACAGCTGGACCTCTATACGATCTCAGAAGACACGAAGCAGGGCCCCCGCCTGACAGTCCCAAGAAGCGCAACGTCAACTGGCACACGCCCATTCAGATCTATGCCCCCTACGATCAACCGGAGCAACCAACGTCGAGCAAGGCCAGCAGAGAGGCTGAGAGCAAGGAGCTAGACGGCGTGGAAACGTTGCAGCCCACGCACAAATCACGACGCAGCCTGGGCGACGATGATGGCTTTGAGAGTTTGAACGGAAAGAGTTCCAGCGGCGAGGACAACAACCACTCGCCGCTGCCCAATGCAGGAGTGGCCGCCGCAGTCGTGCCCGTGCAGCACAGCCAGTTGCGTTTGCGTTTGAATGTGGCAAATCCCAGTGCGGGCAATGTGCCAGCAGCAGCAGAGAAGAAATCACAAACTCGTGGCAGCGAGTCGACCAGCAGCGGCGCTGACTCTGACGAATGCGATGATGCGGACATTATATCGAGTCCTGCCTCCGCGTGCAATCAAGAGTGCACCACATCGGCCACCGATTGGCTGGGCGTGACCACAAACAGTGAGGATTGCAGCTATACCTCCGATATGGATCAATCGGATGCTGGCTTCAAGCCCTGCAGCGACGAAGATCCCGCAGAGCTGGACATAACACCAACAACCATACTGAATCCACACAATAACATGGATCGAAGTGAGTAGAGTGGAACCACAATCGTACCTTTCTTTATCCCCTTGCCCTTTCCAGTTAGCTGCACCATTTGGGATCAGCGTGATGCAAAGAAAGCTCAGCTCTCTGTCTTGGAAATTGCCTCGTGCATCATTGAGCGTGTGGACTCTATGGGCGAGACGAATGATTATATTTACATAGGAGTTGTCTTTTCCTTTCTGCTCACCATGATACCCACCTTTTGCAGGCTCTGTGTGGTGAGTTCTGACTCGAGGGGAGTTTATCACAGCTGTTTTAACTCCCCAATTCCCCTTCTGCAGATCACTCTCGGCAGCGATGCGGAAAAGGCCAGCGAGATCAGCTACATTTACATACCGCAATTGCTGTGGGAAAAGTCATCATCCTCGTTATTTACGCTGCTGGGCTTTGCCTTTGGCGAGGCCAAATGGGAGCGCACTGTTCTGGCGCTGGGCTTCATTCAACGCCTCAGCCTGACGCTCATTTTGTTCATCATTTTTGCCGTGGCGGAGCGCACGTTCAAGCAGCGTTTTCTGTATGCCAAATTGTTTTCGCATCTAACATCATCGCGCAGGGCACGCAAATCGAATCTGCCGCACTTTCGCCTGAACAAGGTGCGAAATATTAAGACCTGGTTGAGCGTACGGTCCTACCTGAAGGTGCGTACACTGGCTGATTGCCTTGAACAAATTCTAAAGCTCTTTAAATCTCTCTCAGAAACGTGGTCCACAGCGTTCGGTGGATATTATTGTATCGGCCGCATTTATTGTGACGCTGCTGCTGCTCGCCTTTCTCAGTGTCGAGTGGCTGAAGGACTCGGTGCATCTGCACACGCACCTCACGCTGGAGGCGCTCATTTGGTCGATTACAATTGGCATCTACCTGCTGCGCTTCATGACGCTGGGCCAGAAGATACAGCACAAGTATCGCAGCGTGTCGGTGCTGATCACTGAGCAAATCAATTTGTATCTGCAAATCGAACAAAAGCCAAAAAAGAAGGATGAACTAATGGTATCGAACAGTGTGCTGAAGCTAGCTGCCGATCTACTAAAGGAACTCGAAACGCCATTCAAGATCTCTGGCCTCAGTGCCAATCCATATCTATTCACCACCATCAAGGTAGTCATACTGTCAGCACTCTCTGGCGTTCTGAGTGAAGTTCTCGGCTTCAAGTTGAAATTACATAAAATCAAAATCAAATAAGTTAAGAGCAGAGCGGAGGGTTTGGTCGCAGATTGATCATATTTTTGTAGTACAATTTATTTCGAAACGCTTTAAGAAAGTCTAAAATTAAATACATGTCTCCATCTAGCGTAGTTTAATGAATAATAATAAACCTAGAGGTTAAGCCAGAATGTTTAATGTTTATTGTCGTGTGATGATTGTTTATATGATCAGTTTATATATATATGCATATATGTACTACCTTTTAGAGCGAGCTGCACAATCACAAAATCGTCGTGTTAATTGTGGAATTGTGCAATGAATTGAATTAAAGTTCATAGAACTTGTAGCATAACTGTTGGATTGGGCACGTTTCCTAGTTTCCCCCAATTAATGTCTTAGCTAATCTCAAGTTCTCGATAAATAAATAATTAATAAATAAATGTCTTAACCAACTGTAAACAATACAAAACAAATTTTTAAATCTCACGCACTGTGCGAGATCGGGGCTGCTAACTCAGCTGCACCACTGTGTGCTGGTAGTGCTGCCAACTCCTCGTTATTTGTGTGATCGCACAGCTGTTTGCAATCGTTATCAGTGCACGCCCACGCAAAATCGATACTGACGTAACAGCAAGCAACCAACACCAGCCGCATTTCTGCACTTATTTCGCTGTAGTTTTTAGTTTACCTATTCCCATAAAACATTGCATAAAATGCTTAGGCTAAATATATTGCTCAGGAATGCCGTATCCACGAATTTACTGCGCAGCCAGACGACACGTTTGCTCCACGTTGGCGACGCAAATGTCTTGCCCAGCGAGGTGGACAAACAGTCAGCCGAATATAAGGTATAAACAATTAGCATATGTCAATCATTAAACTACAGTTTGCACTTTTCTTGTAGGACAATGCCAGCGAAATGGGCAAACTTGTCACGGAGCTGCGCAACCTCACCAGCCAAGTGCTAACAGGTGGCGGTCAAAAGGCCAACGACAGGCACACCTCACGCGGCAAGCTGTTGGCCAGGGAACGCATTAATCTACTGCTGGATAAGGGTTCTCCTTTCCTCGAACTTAGTGCGCTGGCTGGCCATGAACTGTACGGCGAGGAAGTGGTCAACTCGGGCGGCATAGTCACTGGCGTGGGTCGTGTCTGTGGGTAGGTCTTGAAATGAAATCTCTGATCAAATGACTTATGGTAACGTTTCTTTTAGCACTGAATGTGTTGTCGTGGCCAACGATGCCACTGTCAAGGGTGGCAGCTACTATCCCATCACTGTGAAGAAGCATTTGCGCGCCCAAGAGGTGGCCCAGGAGAACCGATTGCCGTGCATTTATCTTGTGGACTCGGGTGGTGCCAATCTGCCGCGCCAGGCTGAGGTCTTCCCTGACAAACTGCACTTTGGACGCATATTTTACAATCAGGCCATCATGTCCGGCCAAGGCATACCCCAAATTGCCGTTGTCATGGGTAGCTGCACAGCCGGAGGTGCGTATGTGCCAGCCATGGCGGACGAGAGCATAATTGTGAAGAAACAAGGAACCATTTTCCTGGCTGGTCCTCCGCTGGTGAAAGCTGCAACGGGTGAGGAGGTTTCCGCCGAAGATCTCGGCGGAGCGGATCTGCACTGCAAGACTTCGGGTGTCACCGATCACTATGCTGTCGACGACGAGCACGCACTGTATCTGGCCCGCCAGATAGTGAGCAATTTGAATCTGCCAGCCACAAACTCGTACAACGCTCAGCTGCTGCACTCCAGTCAAGCGAACTTCAGGGAGGGGAACGCCAGTGCTAATTCGACAGTCGAGGAGCCACGCTATGATCCCCGCGAGCTGTACGGCATTGTGGGACCCAATCTCACCAAGAGCTTCGATGTGCGCGAGGTAATTGCCCGCATTGTGGATGGCAGTCGCTTTACGGAGTTCAAGAAACTTTATGGCGAGACTTTGGTCTGTGGTTTCGCAAAGCTCTATGGCCAAACAGTCGGCATTGTCGGCAACAACGGTGTCCTCTTCTCGGAGAGCGCACTCAAGGGTGCACATTTCATTCAGCTGTGTTCACAGCGCAAGATTCCTTTGGTCTTTCTGCAGAATATCACAGGTGAGATCTCAGTTCAGGCACCAGTTTGACTTTTCCACTAACTAATCCTTTATTTTCCTAAGGTTTCATGGTTGGTCGCGATGCTGAGGCTCATGGCATAGCCAAGAATGGAGCCAAAATGGTGACAGCCGTTGCTTGTGCCAATGTGCCCAAGTTTACGGTGATAATTGGTGGTTCGTACGGCGCTGGCAACTACGGCATGTGTGGACGTGCCTACTCGCCGCGATTCCTTTACATGTGGCCCAACTCTCGCATCTCTGTGATGGGCGGGGCACAGGCAGCTAATGTGTTGGCACAAATCACTCAGGATCAGCGCAAGCGTGCAGGCAAAGAGTTTACCGAGGAGGAGGCACAGAAGCTTAAGGCGCCCATTGTGGAAATGTTCGAGGCGGAGGGATCGCCGTACTACAGCACAGCTCGCCTGTGGGATGATGGCATAATAGATCCGGCCAATACACGCCAAGTGCTGGGCCTCAGCCTGAAGGCAGCACTCAACAATGCTGGCCATGACACCAAGTTTGGAGTTTTCCGCATGTAAATTTGATTTGCATGCGAAAGTAATTGAAGGAACCGGAAATTGTGCATTTATTGACATTGAATGTCCTGCCACTATATTGAAACTGTTGCATTTATTAGTGTTAAGTGAACTGTTGTTGTTTTTTATGTAAATGTCCATTGCGTATCTATCTAAAAACAATTATTTTTAAATAAAACGTACTGCAAAATGAAAGATTGCTTGTTGCCAGCAAGCTGCTGCGAAAGGTTAATAGCGTCACATGTTCGTACCTTTAAAAAGGAACCTTTTTTGCACACAATCCAATAAGAAAAAATCAGGAAAACTTGCTAATCTTGTGGAGAATTTATTCATCAATCTCATAAAATTATAGTTTCAGGGATGAGAGTCTAAGCTGGCTAGTAATATTAAATAGAATATCAAAATCGAGCAAAATGATTTAGTCGATGCGGTATATTTTTACAACGAGAGGGTAAATTCCGGTATATTTTTGAGTGCCTGCGGTACTTTTCGACGATAAATGCGCGGTCACACTGTCACACTAACGCTTTGAAATCGGGTTCGTCATACACAGAATTTTTTGCATTTCTAGTTAAAACAAAAGTCTAAATATAATTTAAGGAATCATCGAACAGTAGAACACTAAAAAAAGTTAATAAGTATAAAGGTGAGTGGACCATTTGCCGAAACCAAGTGTAACTCTGTGTGTGGGCTTGGCTTCATCTTTGTGCTGGTGTGTGTGTGTGCGTGGTAAATGTTGCGGCTCTTTTGCCTGTTTTTTTGCACAAATCGAAGAAAAAAATGAAAAATGGCAAAATCTAGAAGTAGCGTAAGCAAAAAAGAAAGTTCATCGGCGAGTGGCGGAGTGTATGTGGCGATTTTAAAATAGCTTTGCCGAAAACTTCAAGTGCACTCTTGAGTCGGAGCCGCGTGCAAGAAAGGGGAAAAAATATCTGTACATTGTGGAAGAGAATCTGGTGCATCGGTGTGCGTGTGTGTTGTATATTTAAATGTCGCCTGCTGCTGTTGGTTGCCGCTGCTGTTCCCGGTTCCCTGTTCCCTGCTCCCTCCTCCAAAAATAAAATTTTTTCGTGAGTGCGGCGTCCTTGCATGTGTGCGTGTGTCTGTTTGTGTGTGCCTGCTGCTGCTGCCTGCTGCTGCTGCCTGCTGCTGCTGCCTGCTGCTGCTGCCTGCTGCTGCCTGCTGCTGCTGCCTGCTGCTGCTTCTGCTTCTGCTTACTTGCAACAGCGTCAGTAGAGGCCGCAAAAAATTCCAATGCAGACAGCGGCTAATCTGCTTCGCCACTTTTCCCAACCCGCCCTGCCCTTACCAAAGAGGAAACCATATTTTTCTATGCTCATTCAGGTTTCAGGTGTTGATTGTGTTTTCCGCTTTGGCTTCCAATTCCATGACGTCATTGCATGTGTCAACCTCTTATATGGTCTATCTGTCAAGCCCCCGCAGACATTAAGTGGCAGACGTTAGTGTTTGTGTGTTGCGTGTGGGTCCAGTTACCAACATTTATTCGATTCTTTTAGATTGTGTTACTATTTTTATTGGATAAATTAAAACTGTCGAGCGACCCCGACGACGCCGACGCAGCTCCCTGCTTGTGTGCTCTTCTTGCATACTTCTCGGTTTCCACTTTGGTTTCTCCGCTTACACGCACACACACACACAGGCACACTCGTCTCGTGTCTGTGGCTGTGTCTTCAGGCGCTTTTCGCATATTTATTTTCTGTTTTTGACACACTTCCACACACTCGTTCTGCCCCCGGGCGGAGACTGTCTTCATATTATGAATATGAATGTGGAGGATTAGCGAGTATGAACGAGCATATGATAAGTTGTTTCATATTCCATTCCCCTGTGAAAAGTGGTTTACATTTTATGGCTCTCCTATTCGGCGCTTGTTCTGCCTAATTGGCGCGGAAACAACTTCCGCTGCAGCGCCCCACCAGCAGCAGCATCAGCAGCAGCAGCTCGCCCACACCCATTCATTCATCGTAACCGCCATGGCATCGACAGCCATAACAAAGCACAATCCCCAACTTGTTGTATTTGGGGCATGGCATGGCTATTGTGGCTGCCTGCTGCTGCTTCTGCTGGGGCGCACTTAAATCAATAAACTAGGAACAAATCGCTCGCATTTGAATTGAAGTTCCGCCCTTTCGGGTCAATGCACTTGAGGCACACACACACACACACAGGCAAAAGGTAGCGTGGAAACTCTCCCCAACGCACACACACACACACGAGTTGGATATTTATAGGCTGGCTCCCAAATGCCGGCTAATTCTTTATCAGCTTCGTTGCCTTGTTGTGGCCCACGTTTCTATGTTAGCCTGTTGGCCAAGTTGACATTGATAATGCCAATGACGAAGAGCGACTGACGGGACAGACGAACAAACCGCCAGATAGGCAGCCAGTCAGACCCAGCCCATGAGTAATCTTCATCTCCAAGAAAGCAGTGACTGAGACGTCAGCATCGCCGCAACGCGACGCAGGCAGCGAAGCGTTGACAACGCAGCTCCGTCGCCTCAGACCCCAGACCCCGGTATGAGGGCCCAGCCACAGTGCAAGTTCATTGTTCGCGCGCTCCAGTGCTGCTTGCTGCTTGCTGCCCGCCTCTGAGCGTTCTTGTTTCCCATTTCTCCTGATTGCATTTCATGTTCGCTGGCGTAAGTTTTTGAGAGTCGAAAGAGAATCAGCCAAAGAGTGTAATGCCTTCTTAATCGCAAAATAATTTTAATAATAGAAGTTCAAAGAGAAAGAGCAGCTAGAGCTAATTATTTGATTCGATTTAGAGCCGGAAGATACAGATACTTAAGCAGGAGCAAGTGCGCCACTTAGACTGACATTTATGCGCTCATGAGGTTTGAAGAGTGACGGGAATGGACTGCAAAATGCATGACTTGTTGGAGATTGTTGATAAGAAGCTGAATCTGACAAGGCAGAGAAAATATCATTTGTTTTTTCACATCAGAGGAGGCAAAGTTAAAACAGTTCAAAGTTAGTCAATCATTGAATTTGAGAGAGTCAACTTTAAGGGAGAGAAAATGCGTGTAAATGTGTGTAAATTTCAACTTAAATTGAGACAAAAGTGATTCCGGGAAATGCAATAATTGGTATTCGTAGCAGAGAAAAAGAGAGTCCGAACTTCAGTCTAATAAACTGACCAAACAACTTTCATATCTTTTCATACAAGAAACACAAATTCTACAAATTCAAGCGGCGAGTGTGGTGCAACGGTAAACATTTGCTGGCTAGTCCACTGGCAGATCATTATCGTGATCTTGATATTGAACACGCACATGGGCAACGCTTGAATGCATCGGCTGAGCCAAAACAATTATTAGCCAGCGCGCGGTAATTAAAAGTTGTGCCGCCTGCCTACACCTACACCCACACACAGAGACCCCCAGCACGGAGCTACCTTGGGGCAATTGATGGATTTATGCCTTATTTGCAGAGCTCATGGAACATTAAGTAACTTATTTGTGATCTTTATTTCTTTGCAGTACCGCTCAATAAGACTTAGCAACAACAAGAATAAGAACAACAACTAAGCAGAATGGCTGTTAACGTTTACTCCACAAATGTGACATCAGAGAACCTTTCGCGGCATGACATGCTTTCCTGGGTTAACGATTGCCTGCAATCGCAATTCTCCAAAATCGAAGAGCTCTGCACGGGTAAGTGGCTCGGATGAAGTCATCATCTATATATTAATTACACAATTATAACCATTTTTAGGCGCCGCATATTGTCAATTCATGGACATGCTGTTCCCCAATTCAGTGCCCGTGAAGCGTGTCAAATTCCGCACTAATTTGGAGCACGAATATATACAGAACTTTAAGATACTGCAAGCTGCCTTCAAAAAGATGTCCGTGGATAAGGTAGGGGATCGAGAGTGATTTTAGTTGCACATCTTTGAAAGTTTCTTTTGATTTGTTCAATGCACAACCGTACACACGACACCTTCGCGCACTCTTCTTTGCGGAGAGCAGTGTGGGAAAACGGACAATTATTGACAGTGTCAGTCGCCCATAACAGAGCTTTAACAGAGCCCAAATTTTCAATGTTATGCGCGGCTTACAGCTGTAACACTACTTGAATGTCGTAACTAACTCCAATTATCCGTTTCAAAATATCAAACAAAAACCTCCTCAAACAACAGATCATACCAGTTGATAAACTTGTGAAGGGACGATTTCAAGATAATTTCGAGTTTTTGCAATGGTTCAAAAAGTTTTTCGATGCCAATTACGATGGACGCGAATATGAGCCATTGGCTCAGCGCGGCGGCATCAAAATGGGCAGCGGCAAGGGACCGGGCGGCAACAGCAATGGCGGCAGCGGTGTGGGCAGCGTCCACAGTGATATACACACGATGCATCGACGGAGAATACAGGCGCCACAATCCAATCGCCTGTCACCCAGCGTACCCGCGCATCAAACGGGTAGGGGACATGTGTGTGTGTGTGTGTGTGTGTGAAGCAACGCATTTCTTTTTGTGTGTTGGTCGTGGACTATATCTACTTAATTGTTAATCGTAACGATGCGAACGTGAAGCACGTGAAGCGACCACCGGCCACACGATCATTGGGATCCGCACCAATCAACAACCAACCCAAACCCACCTGACCACCCGCACTCACCCAACGCACACGCACAAGCAGACACACATTCCAGCACCCAAAAAACACACTCGAATTCCAATTGGATGAACTGTTGTTGTCCTACATACACTACTCCCACATAAATCCTCACTATAATCCCAGTAATCCCTCCCCCAACATAACTCGTAACATTGCGGTAGGAGGAAAGTCCAAATTTGGCTTGCCAAATGATGAACAACATTTGTTACCGTCTGTCTCTGTCTCTCTCTCTCCCTATGTGTATTGTCCAGGTCATGGTGAAATTACTAAGAAGAAGACGTCTTTTCGGAGACCACAACCCTTTCGAGCGCTTGTCTTTTTGAGCGTGGTGAATAAGTTAGTGGTCCTCCTCAACTTGTTAGCAATTTCACCATGGTCCAGGTTATTCGATTGCTTGGTGTACCATTTGTGTGTCCACCCCCCATGTTCCCTTTACTAGCATTTGGGTATTGTTTTTGTCCACCAGCACACACTCTCTCTCACCGCTCTCTTTTTGCATATTTCTTACACATTTTATTTTTAGATAATACCCATTGACAAATTGATAAAGGGTCGCTTCCAAGATAATTTCGAGTTTTTGCAATGGTTCAAAAAGTTCTTCGATGCTAATTACGATGGCAAGGACTATGATGCCAGCGTAGTGCGCGAGGGTGCGCCCATGGGCTTCGGTTCGGGTGCAGTGAAATCCCTGCCCGGCACGGGCGGCGGCGGCGTGGCGAGCTCTTACAGGCGTACACCAGCGACAGCAGCGCGCCCAACAACGACAGCAACAGCAAAGCCCAGTATGTTGGTTTTTGGTTTGGTTTTCCCTCTTTACATTCTTAGCCACACCCCCCCACAGATGGTCAAACAGTTTGTACATACTTTCGATCATACTTTATATCATTCCCTATCGCCTCTCATTTACTCCTTGATCTCCCGTAGTTTAACCAAACTTGAATGCACATCTCCAAAGTGATTCCAAACGAAAAACACAAACACACACATCACAAAACCATAGAGAACGTGCTTCACGTTTGTTAAGTTAGTCAGAAAAAAAAGAAATACGTTGCCTGCCCACGTGTTTTGTTGTTGGTTCTTTAAGCCTTTGTTGTTTTTTAAATATTAATTTGAATTTTGTTATCGCCCATTTAAGCAGTCTCCAAGGTGCTGCCGCGCACGAGCAGCGCAGTGACGCACAGCAGAGTGGCCACAGCCACCAATATTACAGGGACAGTGAAGAAGAATGATGCAAACCATGCTGTAAATACACAGCAAATCGATGAGCTGTCCAATCAGGTAAGAACCAAAATACTGAACAACATATTTCACATCATAATTTATGGTTTACTTTAGGTCATGGACATGCGCCTAAATCTGGAAGGTTTGGAGAAGGAGCGCGACTTTTATTTCTCAAAATTGCGCGACATTGAAATACTGTAAGACCCAGCACACATCTCTCTGTGAGCACTCTTCTAACCTGCTAATCCTTGTCTTACAGTTGCCAGGAGGCCGAGGAGGGTGAGACCACTCCGTTGGTGCAAAAGATTTTGGACATACTCTATGCGACTGAGGTAGGAGCTACCGCAGCATTGTTACCCAGTAAGTTTTAATGTTCTTCTTTTTTTGCGTGTACGTTTGCCCTTCTAGGATGGTTTTGCGCCCCCAGACGATGCACCACCAGAAGAAGAGGAGTATTAGGAGTAACATATACGAAAAAAAGAAGAAAAAAGAAAACAACCAGCCCACGACAACACCACAACTGCAACACTCTATGCAAAACATTTTCAAAACCCTCCAGCATGAGGATACACCAAGACAGACACAACACACGGCACGCACGCATTCGTGTTGTATGATAACCCCACAAGTAATTTCCACATAACAAGGATACCCCTCACCACGAATCGAACCAGCAGCAACTCCCCTGAACATTTTGCAAATTGTTCTTTATTATTTCGTTAGTATTTTGGATGTTGCTCTCGTGCTCAATTATCAAACGGAAACAGTGTTTACATTGGCAAGCGGTCGGTCGCGTTCCATCAGCTATTGCTTGGTCCTCGTAGCATTTGTATTTAGTAATTAAAATGTTGTTGTTTTTTTGGCAGAATAAACGTTAACTAAATTGTAAACGGACCACCTAATGGATGTGCTCCATGACACGGCACACTTGTTGTTCGAGCTAACAAAAGTTTAAATGTATTCGCTAGTTCAGCCTTCGATTCAGACTGTCTTCTCTTGTGTTTTTGCACACTTTACAAGCAAAATTTAAGTCATAATTTGTATACAATCCGTAGTTTCGCCCCCACTTTGATGGTTTTAAGTAATTGTATGTGAAAGATCAGATCTACTGAATCCAATTTGTACAATGTAATAATGTTTCCTCTAATTTCTCAAAAATTCATAACCAAAATTGGCTGCATAACATCATAAATACGAAATGAATCCTAGACCTTAAGTGATTCTTTGCTCTCAATTCATTTTAGTTCTATATTTATGTGTAGAACAAATTGAACAATGTTTAAAAGAAGAGTTTCAAAATAAAACACCCAAAAACATCTTTCTAATTTCTAAACAAAAAACCCACACACACACATGTTTCATTTATATTTTATATGATTTAAAACAAAAGAGACCAACTTTTTGCTTATCTCGCAACTGGTTGCAGGAGCCAACCCCCACTTGTTGGTTCTGTTTTCATCCATCAATCAATCAACCCTTCGCTCTTGGGATCGTTGTAAATATTTTGTTAATGCTTGTAAAATCATATATACATAAATATATACACGGACATACTCATTCGAGAGACGCGTGCATCACTGAAAGGCATTTATTAATCGCGTGTATAATTAATGTTCTATTATCAGAATAAAATCAATATGTTGCTTGATTCAAATAATGCATTTTCTCATTCTCAAATATATGACACGAAACTATTTAACAGCTGCCTGAATGTCCGGCTGCTTGTGTGTGCCGTCACAGAAGGGTCGATGGGTCGTCTGCTTGCAGTTGCACAGCCAATATTCGCCCGTCTTCTCCACCTTGAAGCGTATGGGCCTGGAAAAGAAAGGGAAACGTTTACACAGAACTCGTAGCAGAGTGTACACCAGCCTCACCTTTGCTTTATTTTTAGGAACTCATTCTTGTGCGTGCCATCGCATATGGGCTGCGATTTGGACTTTCCGCACAGGCACCAGGAGTAGGTTTTGTCTGTGTGTGGGGAGAGATCGGATCGAATGTTAAGTTGTGGTTATGTAAAACTTTTCAATGGATTGCTTTGCTTCGCTGCTGCTGTGTGGAACGTACCCTTGTCTAGGTGTATCTTGAATGGTCGCTTATCGAAGATGACACCATTCTCCTTCTGCAGCACAGCCGTGTGTTTGTCTTCGAGCAAGTTTTTGGGAATTGTTTTGACAGCGGCGGCGGTGGTGGCATCGCCCGACTTGGAGCTGGAGCTATAACAGACTTGCTGCGGTTGTACACAGATTAGTGGGTGTTTTAACGCAACTAAACACAAGTGACTAAGTTACCTTTAGCAGCCAGGGAGTGCGCAGGCTGCGTTTTAATATTATTGACATGTTTTCGGCTTTTTCTTATAAATTCCGCTGATTCTGGGTAATAGTGTTGTGCAGCGACTGCGACAAACATATGTTTAACCAGGGCTGGAATGTCAGATTATTGAAAGCTCAAGTCAGATCGGCGCTGCCACTCGTCACTTTTGGTATCACTGTCCAAGGTCGCTCCGTCCTCCCACTGTACTACACTACGATTTTCACAATTTCTAAATCTGTTTTCGGTGATAAGAAACTGTGTCTCAGCACTTGAACAGATATGATTATGATGCCTCTGAGCGAAGCAACTCAATACACGCGTCTCGATGTACCTGTTGGGTGGCACATTTCTTGGGTTCTTCCATTTGTGTTTGAAATTCGAGTAACCAAAACTTTACAGTCGTGAGATACTCAAGATAAGATGCCAAAGTGTGCCCACGTTTATCAAGCAGCCCCACAGCCCCAAGCGCTGATTAGCTTCCACAGACACAAAACACAGTATAATACACAAAATTGTATTTTGGAGAAGAAATACTTAGGTTAGATGTCTAGAACTCGTCGTTGAATGGATAATATTTGTGGCCGGACATGCCCGAGAAGGGCACTGTTCGCTGACCCGTGTGGTAGCCCTCCATGGCCCTGACATCCTCGGCACTCAGCTCAAAGTCAAAGACTTTAAAGTTCTCCTCTATGCGCGTCTTGTTGGAGGACTTGGGCAGTGGCACGACACCGATTTGAATGAGATATCGCAGGCAGATCTGGGCAGTGCTGCGTCCGTACTTCTTGGCCAGCTGCTGGGCCTGCTCATCGTAGATGAACGCGGGCCACTGGCGTGCGGGCTGGGGACGTGCCAGCGGGCAGTAGGCGCAGATCACCAGACCGTGCTGCTTGGCATGCTCGCGCAGCTTCTGCTGCTGGAAGCCCGGATGACACTCCACCTGGTTGACCACCGGCTTGATGCGGCAGTTGGCCAGCACGCGCTCCGTTTGTGCGGCATTGAAGTTGGACAGACCGATGCCGCGGGCCAGGCCCAGATCCACCAGCTTCTCCATCTCCCGCCAGGTGTCCAGATAGTCGACGTCCGTCAGCTCCAGGGTGCCGTGGACATTGCTGTCGTTGTGGAACTTCTGGCCAATGGGCAGATGCATCAAGTACAGATCGATGTACTCCAGCCCGAGGTTGCTCAGGCTCAGCCTGAAGGCGCGCTCCACCAGCTCGGGATCGTGGTGAATGCCGCCCAGTTTCGTGGTGATAAATATCTCCTCCCGCTTGATCACACCCTCCGCAATCTTCTCCCGCACCGCCTGGCCCACCTCCTGCTCGTTCTCGTAGACGAACGCCGTGTCGATGTGCCGGTAGCCAGTGTCAATGGCATTCTTGGTCGATTGGTAGGCCTCCGACTCGAATGACTTCCAGGTGCCCAAACCGAGGACGGGCATTTCCTGGCCATTGCTCAGTTTGATTTTCGGCGCGAGATTTGTCATTTTGTCGATAATTGGTTACTCGATTGCGACGCGACCACAGGCTATTACGAGTATGCTTTGCTTTTTTATACCAGATTATGGACAGAGCAATCTGTTCCAGCACGTTGCAGGTGTAGCGGGCAAATGGTGCCTCGCTCGGCCGGTTTCGGTAGCTTGGTCACCGACAGCGCCGAGCAGCTGCTGTGTCATGCTGATGACGTCACGGCCGGACACGTCACAGTTATTCCCCACCAGTTGCAAATGAGAGAGCACAGCTGGAAAGCTCTCTAAAAGCTCTTTTTGCGCGCTCATTTGGAAATTTTGTCGTTGACAATGCAATACTTTCCAGCACTATTGATTTTTCGAATCAGTGCTGAAAGTGCTGGAAAACGTATTTTTTTGGTCGCTAACACATAAATCTTTATTTGAATATTTTTAGTTTAAAGTTTAAAATGTTAGACATTCAAAGATACATGCTGGTTTTACTCTTAGGGATTGCCTTTTAAAACATTTAGCTTGCTTTGCATAAATCTCACCGGGGTGTACTCGTATATAGTTATTTATATTCTGTTTAATATGGTTAAATATCTCGGGTCCAATTTACTATATATGTATTTGCTATGATCAACTTAGTTGTCTGCCCGTGAGGACTGCAACATAAATTGTTTGTTTTTTTTTGGTGTTTGCTTCTTACTGTGAGCTCCACAAAGGGAAGCTTCTATTTATTACTCTCTTTCTTCTATTACCTACTAGAGATTTAGTCCTCTATTGCATATAATGGTAATTATTTGCTTTGTTTTGGTGTTTGATTCTTACTGTGAGACCTTCCACATTCTCTTCCAGATCTTCTTGTGGTTTATTCTATAGACATGTAGACACTGATTTGAACATTGTGTACAGTTGTTCCTATTTGTTAGTTAAGTAAATTTGAGATTGTTTTGCGTTAGCCATGTACTAGACACTGATTTAGCTGTTTATTTGCTGTCTTGGTGTTTGATTCTTACTTTTGAGCTCCATCGAAATGAGGAGACTTTCTTTATTATAAACTATTTATGTGGTCTGCAAAGAGACTTATCCATATATATATTTTCTATGTAAGTAAATTGGAGATTGTAATGCGCTAGCCATGTAGACACGACACTGATTCGGAGACATCTTACTATTTCCTATAAAACTGCGATTGAACATTTTAGTTGTGTATTTTCTGTACGTTTAGTTAGAACTCTTTCATACGGAGGTATATAAGTATAGCCTGAATATATCGCTAGATTTACCCGATTTAAGTTAAGGTTTATGCAAAGTGCTTTGGTTATTTTTCTTTAAAAGTAAAAGTAGAGAAAAGTTCACTGGATTTTTGTGTTGTTTTGTTTTGTTTTGTTTTGAGATTGTCAAATCGAATCACAAGTTAAAATTTGGAATTTTCTTGTTTTGCTAAGAGTATATATATATATAGATATATATCGGCATTATTGAACAACAACGATTGTGTATTGCTGCCAACAGTTTTGATACATTTCAAAACCTTTGTTTCTTATCGCTATAGAAACTAGTGTTAGTGTTATTCCATCTACAAATGTGTCTTTATATATGCTAGAAGATTTACTGGGTTAACTTGTTGCTGAATGCCTCCGGTTGTGGCACACATTGTGTAGATAAAGTAATTAAAAGGCGTTTAAACTCTGTTCTTTTTTGTTGTCACGTACTACAAAAATTGGTGTTGCGTTGCATGTAAAATCAATTCGAAATGTATACAAATTTGTAAGTTATTAACTTAACATTTCCACTGTCTATATTTATGTATAAAAGTTTCATTGAAAATTCGATTGGCTGTTTGCTATTGGGGAGAGAGAAACCACTGGATACTGCTGATGCCATGGATTTATGCAAAAAGAAGGACTAATATTTTTTATAGTACACCTACACGACATATAATCCTATGCATCATGGTCAAAGTTATGGCTACAATATGTATAAGTTTTTGTTTTTGTGGTAGGTTAAGTGTTATATCGTTGTTTGAGAGACCTTTACTTGGGAGAGGAGTTGGAGTTTATATTTTACGGCTACTACATTGCTAGGATTAACTAACGAGAACTTACCCAGCCTATCTTTGGGGCAACTGCTCACATTTCGAGTAAGTTCATTTACTTTCAATCTATATACAAATGTGAATCGATTCATTTTACGACTATACAACTAATTACTACAGCTAGTAAGGTCCCTCTCCAGTGTTATTTATTTTTAATGCATTTTCTACATGCAAATTGTTTCACAAATCACGCAATTTTGTACAAAAATAAAACAATGAAGTGTTGCTTGGTGTTCTTTAAATAAATATGTATTAATAAAGGTGGTGTGACAGTTCATTCACTTTACGCTTTGAATGGAGGAATAAACTGAATGAAATCGAAAGTTCGGTAATTGGAAATCAAATGACTTATGCACTACGTAGCTTAAATGTTAATAACTAGCTTCCACTAGACTGTTTAATAGTTTTTAGTTTAGGGTTTAAAAAAATAGATTCTGCTGCCACGCCACTTTGCTCTGCATCCATTCGTTTGTATGTCTATACAAAATACTTTTTGGAGTAGGTTACAACAGATGTAAATGTAGATAAACATATGTAGATATAGTTACACAGTAGATGTACGTAGAAAAAGTTTTGGTAGGAAATTATGCAGTTTTCGTGCTGTTTGTTTTACTTTTGATGTCGTCTCCTCCTAAATGTTTAGTATCACACTCGTCCATTGTTTTGTTTTTGTATTCACTATGTATGTAGTTATGCATGTAGTTATGTATGTATGTAAGTTGCTTCCTCATTCTGGGCTGCGTTTCGGCATTGGTTTCCTGCGGCGCCTGTCAAATTTTTCGTTTTTGTACTAAAGCAAAAAAAGTTCTTTTGCATTTTCGTGTGTTAGGTTTCAGTTCATTTTGAAAGTTGGAGTTAGAGTACGTCCATGATTAAGTGGGTCATAAATACTCTCTACTTAGCTTAAGGCTAATGCGAATGCGAATGCGAATGCAAATAGAAGTTTTTGCTGGGCAGCTAAGCTCGTATCTGTGCAGCTAATTTGCAGCTTTGATTAAACACTTAACACACATACTTATAGGGGGTTAGACACTTAAGTACTCGCTGGCTACGAGGAGCTGCTGCTTAGAGCTTCCTGGTGGGCTCCACCTTCTGGGACATGGCCGTCAGCACGCGCTGATTGTCAATCACTCGAAAGCTGCTGATGTACGAGCGTACCTCGCCCTCGCTCTTGGGTGAAGGCGGTTCCAAACCTGCCACAGGCAAAATAATTGTTAAATCAATATCACAAATAGTTGTGCAAATCCTACCCAAACTCCTGGAGCGACAGAAGCGTATGGTGCGCATCGTTTGTGCCATCATGTGCATCTTCTCAAAGTTCACCAGCCCGTCCAGGCTGGTCTTGTTGCCCTCGTGGGCAAACGTCATGTCCTTGAGCAGCAGCGGCATAAACGGTATCAGCGGCGGCTGTAGCTTGCCCACAAACACGCGATACGCGCGATGATTGCGACTGGGATCGATGAGCGCCTCAAACTCTTGGAAGATCTTCCTAAACTTCGAAGGAATCTTCTCCCAGGTTTGCTGCAGCCGCGACACGGCCATATTCGAGAGGCCCATGACGACAGCAAAGAAGGCGTTCAGATTTTGGTATTCCTTGCAACTAGGGAAGGGTTGGGTGTAAGTTATACCATTTGGTAGCGTTGCATTTGGTCACTTACTAGGCAGCCAGCTTGATAAACTTGCGTACGAGACCCACGCGTTTGCTCAGACTCGGCGTGGACACGAGCTCGGTGACAATCCAGTACTGAACCTCATTGAAGCGACGCAGAAAGACATCCAAATTGGCTGTGATCTGAGAGGGCAAAGAAAATTGATTAAATTCTGTGAGTTTACGAAAAGTTTGCCATAGTTTTCGCTTGCGAACATCTTAAATTACTTCCGAGTGAGGCGCCAACTTGTGGCCAAACTCAATTTGCAAAAACAGATGACAAATGGCAAACAGTTTTGTGGCCACGTCTCTCACACTCCCCCTCTGGGCTGGCTAATTACCCAAACGAGACTTTACAGACTTTTGGGGCAAGTTTAGCTGCCACTTGGGCACTCCTCCCCCCACACTCACCTTGCCAAAGTGATGCCGTCCAAAGGTGTGATAGAGCAATTCATATTCATGCACAGCATAGAACAGATCCCACTCGAAGAGTGTGATGTGATAGGCCAGCTCCTTGGTGCTTAGTATCTCCAAATCGATGTCTACACCCTCTGTGGGGCACTCCTGCTCCTGCAGTTGTGTCTGCAAAGGGAAGGAGCCAGCAAATAGAGAAACCCAGACAGCCAGTAGTTCTTCCTCCTGCTGCTCTTACCAACGCATCCAAATGATCCTTGACGGAGACAAACAGTCGACCGTTGAGCGAGAGGCCAGTGGGTATGCTGACATCGTTATCCTTAAACACAGAGCGCTCCCCGTTCGACTTGACTTCCACTAGGCACAGGTCCTCAGGGCCACGATTCAGCTGCAGCTTGTCAGCGGCACAGGCTTTGATGAGCTCCGCTGTGGTGTGCATGGGAAAGCGCAGGGTGCAGTAGGTGTGATCGGCACAATAGACGCGGAAGATGACTGCAGCAAAAGGGAAACAATTAGGGAACAAATTGGCAAACAAATCAATCCAAATACTCACTATCATCATCCGGTCGTATGACCGTCTTTGAGGGCGTTGCATTGCCGCTGAACAAACAAATTGGTTGACCATTTGGCGGCAATTTCCACTTTTGTCCCGCATTCTGATTGCGATCCTCCTGATAGCGTGCCATTTGTGTGAGCACATTGTGCACGATGCTCGTCTCCTCATTGAGATCCGGATCTGCTTCCACTTCGGCTGCGAGATCCTCAATGAAATCACACACACTGGGCTCCTCGAAGGCCGCATGCCGCACGGCCATGACCCACTTTTGCATGAACTGTATGACGCGCTTCTTAAAGTTGACAATATACTCACGATCCTCGGGTGTTTGCGCATCCTCATGGGTATCGCAATGAAAGGTGCACAGCGGTTAAGGCGTGAAACCAATTTTGTTTGGCAGCTTTAAGATTTGGTATTGGAATTGGATTGGGGTTGCTCAATCTTCTGTCTGTCTGTCTGTCTGGGTTCGTTCCTGTTGCTGTTTTGCCCTTCCTTTTCCCATTGTTTCCCCATGTTTCTGCTTATTAAACACATCACGTATTCCAATGCAGATTGTGGGATTAGTTTCAGGCATCATTGGGCACAACTCTCCACCAACCCAATCTTGAGTGCCCATCCCCGACAAAGTCATCAGTTCATTGCGGCTTTTGTTTCGACTCGGACTGGACGGAAGGAAGTGTGTTGCTTGTTAGCACTGGGCGGGGCGTTGCTGTTCGGGGTCATGTGTGGGGCTTGCGTGCTGCCAACACTTAAACTGTCGCCGGGCCCCAAAAGGGGGAAGGCATTTTGCCTTCAACCTGGTTTGACCCCAACACACTGCAACCCAAAAAGAGCGGGGCCTAAGCTTGGGTACGTGGCTGGCATAAGGCAAGGGTTTTTGGGTACTCAAATTCCAGATTGTTTTTGCTTTGAAAAAGGATATTAATTGGCAAGTTCATCAACCAGCTGCACCACGGGCATGAATACAATATGCGTGAGCAGAAAGTCATCGAGGAAGGGATCCATGCCGCCAACAGACTGACCCAGTCGGGTCTCTAGCAGGTGCTCCAGCATCTTGGCCGGTGTGCCCGACATGACCGTGTATCTGCGAGCCATAAAACAACGAAATTGAAATTGAAATTCCACATTCCACTTTCAATTAAAATTTGATTAGACACTCACTTGAATGCTGAATGCTGTCCACGTTGCTTGGCCACACGCTCCAGCACTAAAACATCCTTGCCGTGCTCCTGCAACCTCAATGTATTGGCCTCCACATCGCGCAATATACGATTAAAGTGCTCCTTGTCCACGCGCAGCAAGTGGCAATTGTTCTCCTTGAGCACAATGGTAGCAGCTCTGGTGGGTGGACAACATTTAAAGGATTTTATATTCTATTTCTACACTCGAAAAGGCTGCCCAAAAGCGCATAAACTTTAGGCAAACTTTGAAAATGTCAACTTATTTTATTTAGTTTATATTTTATTTTATTCCACGTGCTGAAAGTATTTGAAATTCCATTTCACAGCAGACACTGGCGGAATTTGCATTTGGCATCTGCAGCAGTCAGTCAGGGTCAGGCAAACCGCAGGCATTGTTTGTTAATAATAATAATAAATAATAATAGTAACAACATATTTATAAATTCAACAGCTTCAATGAGTTCTTCCCCGTCTGATATTTATACAAGCAAAACTACAAAAGGAAACTGAACCGAACCCAAGCCCAAAACTCTTTCCTTTCCTTTTCCGTTTTCGTTTTTCCTTTCTGCTGCCAAAGTTTATAGAATTGCTTACAAATTGCCTCTGGGCTGTGCTAGGGCTAATATTTTGTTTCAATTTCCAATTGTTTGCTCTAAATGCCACACAATGCGCCACTGCCTTGGCCATTGTCCGTTCTTTGTGGCTTTGTGCACACAGAATTGTGAGAAAAACTCACAATGCATACGAAATGCATGAGCACGGAGACAACTTTCAGCTACTAACTCGAGAGACTTCAGCACTTGGAGGAAGGATAAACTTTCGGGCAGTGAGGGAGAGAGAGAGAGAGAGATTTCTTGTAAAGATCTGGTTGATTAGCTCTCACCTGGGTGCGTCGTTGATTAAAGCCAGTTTACCAAAATCATCGCCCGTCTTCAGTGTGGCCACCGTGCCCTTGCCGTGTATCACAACATCCACCGAACCTTTCAGCAGGATATACCAGGAGCGTCCCTCGTCGCCTTGATTGAACACTGTTGTTGTTGTTGTTGTTGTTGTTAAGGGATAAAAGTCTTTATTAGTACTTATCATTTTTTGTGTATATTTTGGGGTTTAATGGGAGACGGGACGGGGCCTCTTTATTGAGACATAATTAGTTGGAATTTAATTAAAAAGTTTGCGCTGGCCAAAAACTTTGGTTTTTGTCTCGAGAGTTTTGAATGCTGCGGTGATGGCTAGATTCTATAGATTTAGTTACTTACATATTGTGCCCGCTTGGGCATGTGCCTCGAACACGAATATCGATGAGAGTTCCCGCTTGATGCTGGTGGACAAGTGGGAGAGGGCGGCAATGTGCACGAGCTCCTCGAACACCAGCTCCAGTTCCTCCGGTGTGCGTTCGTGGGAGCTGCAAGAGAACATGTTTCCATGTGCTTAAAGTGTTTCTGTGTATTTCTGTGGCCTTTTCGCATCACTTACGGCTTGCGCAATATCATACGCAATGTGGCATCCGGTCCGCGTTGAAACAGCGCACTCAATGCCTCGCGTATGTGCTCGTTGGCTGCGTGTTGATCCTCTGCCTGGGGTATGCCGACCGCAGCTGCACCACCTTCCTCGTCCAGCCGGAATCGATACAGAAAGCACTTATCCTTGAATGGCTGCTCTTTGTTGACTGGCAACGAGTTATATTAATATGGTATGGAATAATATGACCGTCTGACCGTCTCTTACCATGTGTAAGTACACCTTCCTCGACGAGAGCCTGCCACATGCCCGCCGCTTGGGCGCGCGTATGGACAATTGGTGCGAGATTTACCAGCCAATCGACGAGCTCGGTGCCGGGTGCACACTTGCGTATTAGCTTGCCCGAAACCTAATTAGCATCATCTAAAAGTTAGTTGCTCTCTCTCTCTCTCTCTCTGACTTACTTTGCGATCCTTCAGACAGCTTGAATTGTCGGCGACGAGTAATGTGCGTAGAGCCCAGCCCATGCGGCTCATAGCCGGACTCGGTGTCTGCGATAAAAGTAGAGAGAAAATAATGAGCTAAAAGTAAACCAAGACTGCAGCCTGTTCTTCACATACAATTTGTCGCCTTAATTAAAGACAGCTTAAAGTTTCAGTTGTCAGGACAACAATTTTGTAGAAATCTTCGTTTGGAAAAGGAACATTTTCCCATTTAACAGCCTCATGAATAACGCATAAATAAATATATTCCCCTGACAGTTTGCTGGAGCAGCAAATTAACTCATTTGTCCGTCGTCAATGTTGGCAAAAATTATATATATAAAATATGTATGTGTGTGTGTGTGTGCCCCCTTCCCCACTTACCTCGGTTATGGGCAACGCTGGATTGGGATGGTCCGGGCTGAGTGGGCGCTTGGTGGGCGATGTGGCGGCTGCCGTTTGCTGTACGCTAGGACCAAAACCTATCCAAAGAGACGAACAGAAACCAACCCACACAGCAGGTTGATTTTAATTAATGTTTTTATAACGAATGTGTGTTGCCTGTTTGGCCAATGTTTAATGTCAGTCTAATATGTTTACTCAATCAGTTTCGATTTTGATGAGTTGAATTTTACTCTCCCTGCACGGCGTTTACGTACCGTTCTTCAATTTGCAATTGGTGAAAATGTCATTCATTAACTCTTTGTTTTTCTGCAATTAAAAAGGCAAAACAAAATGTTTAAATTCCAGTTGAAAACGTTGAGGGAAATTGTTGTTGTTGCTATGCTTTGGGTTTTGCTTTCTGCTTTCTTGTTTTGTTTGCAATGCCAAATTCCATTTACGTTGCTCATTTCGAATGCCTCCAGGCGTCGCTGCCGCTTCAAGACCGCGGAAGTGGCAGTGGAAGTGGCGCCAGCTGTTCGCTGCCCCAGCTGTTCCGTTGGCTGGCCATCATCGCTGTGACGTCTGTAGTTGAGCAGCACAACGCACAATGCTGCCTCATCGCTGGCCACAATCTGAGCGGACCAGCGCTGACGCTGCCGTCCAGCAGCTGACATGTGGCAACTTTCTTGCAGAACACTTTTGGCACTTGTTGTTATACACAAGCAGCACAAGCTGCTTTGTTTTGTGTACTGAGTCAAGCGTCATTCACTGACTCTCTTTGCTGAATTCTTATCACTCGCCAGGGCTGTCAGCGTGCCTCAATGTGGAGCCCCAACGTATTTGGTGGGTGCACAATGCGTGCTGTGAGGCTTGCTGGCAACTCTTCAGCTGATAAGCGGCAAACGCTGCCAATTAAACTCTCATTTGTTCACTTATCAAACAGCACAGACACAGCAGGGCCGTCGCAGTGGGGAGTGAACTCAGCGACTCAGGAAGGGGTTTGTTTCCCTTGAACCAGAACTCACATTAAAAACTGCTTAAAGCGCGTTTCGCCTGGCATTTGAAAGAGCAAAGAGCGGAACAGCTGCACACACTGATAGATAAGCTAAAGTTAAGAGCAGGCGGCACTGCTCTTATCCTCTCGAATCAATAAGTTGTGTGCCTCAAAGACCCAAAATGAACTTTAAATGGAGCGACAGAGAGGCGGGAGACTAGAGACTGCACTCCCAATAAATATGCTTCCACTCTAGTCCACAAGCTTGTGGCAAATCCTTCAGCTTTTTGCTTCCACCTGTGCGTGAGGCCTCTTGTGTTTTGTGCATAAATAAATAAAATAAATGGCCATGGATATGCCACTGCAACTGCCGCTGGGAGGCATTCACAATACAGTGCGAAATGAAATATTTACGAAGCTGAGGATAATGCAGACCACATGTTTGGCGCTTCCATTGGTTTGGCATTTATTAGCCATAAAATGAGCACCAAAATTAAATGCAAAACTGAGCTGGGAATCGAGTTTTGGCCCCCACATATCCGGCATGGCCCTCCCGCCCTCCGCTGCATGCTGCCTCCTTCTGCAAATCAAACCGAAAGCCAAAAGTTGTGCCAACCAAACGGAACTCGAACTCAATTGCAAATGGCAAATTGCAATTGAATTTAGTGTGGGTCCTAGCCTTCACTCGATTCGTTTCAGACCCTACTCGACTCGACTCGATTTGTCCAATCGCATTACGAGTGGCATTGGTGGCGTTGCCTCTTGTCCGGTATAATTGGCAAGCGCAGTCAGCCAGCAGCCAGCAGCCTTGCACTCTGCGAGACTCTTAATTAACCCAAAAATTCGATTTCACCAAGCAGCCATAGAGCGTACATTGTTGACAATTGCTTGAGGAGCACAAATCAAGCACTCAAAGGGGAGTAGTGCGGGGACTGCCAGAACTTACGCGAGAGGAGGAGCACACTCGTATCCCACGATTATTTACTCTTTTTCAATTTTCCCTCCCACGGCATGCGTGGATTTTTATCGCATTTACGCAGCTCAGAGAACTGAAGGGAATTCCCCAGTTGGCAAGCAATTTTTATGGTGCAGCAGTGGCAGCATCCACTTTCAGTTCATTGTTGCACACGTATACGCTGCGTATACGTGATATGTCGCAGCTACTTTGTTATCGCTCCAAGCTCCTCGCTCCTCGCTCTCACCCTCCTCTAACCCTACTAGTGTGTTGCTTTCTGGGGTTAGCCAATGTTGGCATAATGTTGCAAAATACTCCTTGTATATGCCCCAATTTGAGGTTTTGCCTTCAAGCTCGTTTTTCTTTGCCGCTCTCCCTACCTCTCCCTCTCCCTCTGCCTCTCTCAATAAGGTAAATATACATTCATTCATTCTGTTCTCCTTCCCTCCCGCTTGTGTGTGCCAGCCTGCCTCGTGTGTGGTTTATACCTTTTGTGCGTGCCTTAGGGGTATGAACTAGGGACCCCCAGCTGCCCCCGAAATGGCATTGTTAGTGCCAGGGTTTTGCCGAAATTTACAAAAGATATTCTTGCATTTTGTACATCATCCCTACCATCATTCCTTACATTTCTCGCAGTGTGCGCACAGTTCAAATATTTACTATTTGCCAGCAGTAAGCCAAAGCAAGGCCCTCGGTCCCAGCCCAGTTCCAGTTCCATCATCACCATACATCTTGTGGCTCTTTCAATTGATATTTCGATTGATATTTGCGCTGGCAAGGTGGCTAAAACATTGCTTATACATTGCCAGTTCCATTTAATTATCGTTTCTCCTGTCCACTTGTGTGAATTTCCCCGGGGGGACCAACATGAATTGATGCATTTCAATAAGCTCTGTCATTACATGGTAATGCCATTTTGCCGCACCATAAGCAGAGAGGCAGACAAACCAAGAGCGAACTTGGCTTAATTTTCCCCACATGCACTCCCATGCTAGCCGAGAGACAAGAGCCAAAAGCACTTAACGCTGAGGACTCGGAGAGCGGGACCTTTGTGCGGGCTTAGTTTCATTAGGAAAAAGCTGTTAGTCTCCGGGTCTCGGGGCAATGTTAATTGAAATTTTAATTAAATACTTTCGGCGGCACACCGCACATATGTCTCTCGGCTCTCAGCTCTGAATATCATTTGAAGACATTTGCATCTATCCATCAGCTGCTGGCTTTCTGGATTGCTCCCTTTTTGATGTGGCTGGCAAAAGGGTGAAGTTTATTTGCGGGGAACTTACCTCCCATATGAGTCGAAAGTCCTGCTGCTCAACGCGCAACAGCTCGCAGGTTGTCTTCGTCACCACAGTGCTGTCGCGTGGCAGATCGTGTAGAATGGTCTCCCCAAATGTGGCGCCCACACCCAGATTGCACAACGTTACGGAGCTCTGTAAATAAATAGAAGGCAGTGGTGGGTTTGGGGTTACAAAAAGTACATCAAATGGCTGGCATATAGTAATTCTTTCTCTTGGGTTAGTTTCTTACACAATTAGTTAAAACGACTTGCAATTTGCTTGTGGCTGTTGGCACCCAAAAACAAAAAAAAACACACGACGGAAGCGCTGCAACTTGCGGATATGCCAGCAAAGTGTCTGCCTGTCTGCCAGTCTCTTTCTGTCTGTCAACCGTGGCTTAGCTCTGAGTGTTGTCTAACCGCAACAGCAGCCGCAGCTTTGCAATGACATTTTCAATTACCAACTGGAGGAGTTTTGCATCTGTGTTCCGGCTGCTTGTTCCTCTTGTTCTTGGCTTTGTTTGCTGTGTTCCCACCAGAACATACAAGTGCCCTGCCTTGTAACTGGCTTAAAGCAGGGCTGACGACCGCAGCAGCCGCAGAATTAGTTAAATTACATAATACATAAATACATAAGTATATGTATACATATATGTATAGATATTAACAGTTATTACACAGCGCACAGTGCCCGTAAAATAATATTTAATTAATTCCCACTGTGTGTTTAATTGCAAATGCTATTTGCTGGACTTCGTTGTTTCTTTCTTTCGCGTTTCTTGCTGATTTATTGGAGCTTTTGCTTTTTGACAAGCGTCACAAAAACACTTGGACTTGGGGTCGGTCTTTGTCTGCCTTCTTTTTGGCCACATTAAAGTTGATTGCTTTCTAATTTATTGCAGCATTAACACAGTTGACCCAAAGACACGGACGCGGACAGCAGCCACAGCCGGACACAGAGAAGCGAAAGATGGCAATGAGAGAGAACGGAAAAAGCAACAAAATTATACGCCGCGCATTTCCGTCTTTCTTATTTCCTTAAGCCGCCGAGAATTGAATTCAATTTCCAGTCTAAACACAAGAAAAATATTTTGAAAAGCTGTGCGTGCGTCTCTCGAGGGATAACAAGCATTTTTTGGTGGCTTGTCTGTGTTGTAATTTTGTAATTTACAAACATAAACAATCATAAATAAATACTTGATGAAGTGCAAAACTGAGACTAGAACTCAACAGGCTCTCAAAGTAACTTCTCGGAGTGTGTGGAGTGGCACTTGAGCTTGTTTTACCTGTTGCCTATTTGCTTGAACAGATTATAGCGCTCAGGTGCAGCTTTGGCAAAGGATTAGGTAGACAAACTAGCACTCGAATCATGTCTTTTATTTGATGTTCCGGCAGTTAAGGTAGTCAACAAATAGTGGCACTCCACTCACTTTCCCAGCTATTTGCAACATATTCCTCCTCCACTTATAGCTACCACCAAAGGATCTACAAACTACATTTAAGCGTTAGGTGAAGCACGTACACTGCTGGATGCTGCTGTTGGATCTTTTACACATATTTTGGATATGCAATGCCATGGTTTACCTTTGCATAATGCCGCGTTGATTGCTCCACGTTATAGGTACAACTGCGACGAAACAACATGATGACTGGCCACTGGTCCAGCAGTTAGTTTTAGTTTTTAGTTTGTTCAACTTTTTGCATCAAAATATCACACAAACAAATGCAAATTGTCTACCCTTTTTGCTCGATTGCATTTGCATTTGCAAATCGTCACAGACGTGAGGTCAACAGAGCGACTTCTTGCCACACAATTTATGGGCACGGGGCACGCGCTGCCGAAACATGTCTGGCTCGCCCATTGATAAACGGACATGGAAAGAGCGTGTCTCTGAGCGGGTTTTATATAACATTTTTACTACCAAAAACTACGCGAGTTTTATTATTATTATTATTACTTTGTTTTGTTGTGTTTTTGTTTATATTTTTCAATTCCCACTCACAACCACACAGGGCACAGGCAGTTATATTCGAACCGCGCGGCGTCGCGTCGCAAAGCAAACTGAAAATTGAAGTTGGGCTGTTGCCACGAGCAACTGTTGCATGTATCTATGTACATGTCTAGTCTTTTGTGCAACTCTTGGCTGGGAAGTTGCTGGAGTGTGGCCAACAGCAGCAGCAAAGCAGCAAAGCAGCAACAAAGGCCCAGAAGACCGGCGGCTAAATGGAGCGTTCGATGCGTTGACAGCTCAATGGACCATTGCCGTCAACATCTTTGTGTACATTTATCTGTGTGCACTCAATGCCCAGTGGCCAGGCCCTCAATGGACAACATTCTAATTTGATCAATGGCAAAATAATCACCGCAGAGAAGTGTCTGCCAGGAGGAGAAGGCACGCAGCTGCACGCAGAGAAAAAAGCATCGAAAAATAAAACTTCGATTTAAATATGTGTAGGAATGGCCAAGCTACGAGACTTTTATGTACCTTTGCATATAAATAAAAACGTGTAAAGACTTCACTCACTTCAAATGAAATTCATGAATTTTCGTTGACACTTTTCTTCGCCAATTTTAGCCTTTTCGCCTTTGACAAACTTTTTGCTGTCGTTTGATGCAAGCGAAATGCAATTAAATCAAAGCACGGGCTTATGCCCATGCACATCCATGGCGATGGCGAGTCACCGAAACCCTATCGCTTGCACCCATGTGCGTCACTTGTGCTGTCGCTGACTGCTGGCCAAATGTCCAACCACTTTCCACTCTCCACTCTCCAATCTCCACTCTCCCATTGGGGACTTTTGCGCTTGGGAAACTTTTCACGCACATATGAGCACGCTTCCGTTCCGTGTCTGTTGCAGCAGCAGCAGCAGCAGCAGCACCAGAGATCTATGCTGCCGGGGCAGAGTTTCATTTCGTTTGTACCTACTGCTGTGGCAGCTGCAACGTGTCTCGCATTGCAATCCACTCTGGCCAAACAGCATGTGCTCAAACGAATGACTTGTTTTCAGGAAGCTTCTGCTAATGGAAAGCAAACTGCCAGCCCAGAGTGATGAGGGGAACAACAACACAGATGAGATTTACTCTGAAACATCTTTTAGTTTTTAGTTTGCTTTTAAGTAACTGCCAAAAAGTGTTCAGCCTTGACACCACTTTTATTTCATTTTTTGTTTGCATTTTTTTCCCCATATTTTTGTAACATTTTTTGTCTTATTTTGCGTAGCTTTTGCTTTGTTTTTTTTGGGGCTAGTAATTGCGAGTATTTCGCTGTGCCCTCCTATGGTGATGTGGGCAGTGGGCCCGTCCGTCCGTGAGTTATTTTTCCCCTCAATGTGTTTGAGGCGTCAAAATAAATCACTGTCTCCCTCACTCGCTCTGACAGAGTTCATTTCAGCGGTTCGTTTGTCTAATTAATTATGCTAATTAGGTCATCATTAGTTAATTTGCAAATGTTTGTGGTTTTTAACAGGTTAATGATCCAATGAATTGCCGCAACAAAAACAAAGCAAGAGGAGAGTTTCCATTTCCAATTCCACTTGCTGACAAGTTAATGGACATCCACAGCATAGAGCAGAGTTAATTATTTTTATAAAATCATATTTAATGGCAACTCAACCGTTAGAGAGACGAGCACGCCGCGAGACTTTTCCCAGCAGCTGCCTCATTTTCCACGGCCTGCATGTGGCGATGACATAAACATGGAATACATAGATGATAAGCAGCGGCAACGGCAGCATCGTTAAAAACTTCGTTCTTGCACTTTATTCAAACCAAAAGGGGGGAATGGGTAAAAAACATCCACTTTGAGCACCCCAGCTGACTGACCCATTAAGCGGATTTCTCTTTGGCATTTCCTTTACCCATTTCAGGGGCACAAAAAAAACCGAACAGAATATGTGAAAGATTCCCATTTCAAAATAAATGCAAATCGAAAAAGAAGAACGAAAGGCAGGAATGTTCGACCGGTGTCGGGTCTTTGAAGGCCTTTAAATGCCAGCTTTATCCCTCGAACCGAATCCTCGCCCTCGTCTGCTGCCGTCAGGCAATCTGGTGCGTCCTGCTAATGCGCCCCAAAGTATGCAAAGTGCCAAAGGCAACGCTCAGAGCCAAGCAGCGTCGAAGGAGCAAAAGCAATAGTTCCGATGCCAAATGCCGATTGCATACCGAAGAAATCATTCAATCGAAATGTAAATAACAAAAGTTCCTCAAGCGGAAATAGCTCTTGGCAGACAAACTACCAGCTGGAAGACGATTATCCAAATGTTATTCCCGAAGATTTGAAAACTTAAAACCGTGTGAGAGGAGTCTCCCAATATGCATAATTATTTCATCATATGAGAAATGGAACTATTAATTATATTGTTGTCTATGAATAATAATTTGTACTAAGAAACAACTAACAAATTTTCTGCCTTGAAGTGGGTACAATATGAATGATAAGAAATATGTCTGCCGCCAGCCAACACACAGATAACAGCTTTTGGTTGACAACAAATGGAATTTGGCTGGCGGGTCAAAGCTTTTCAATACACTGCTAAACCCTGCATTATAGGAAATAAAATATTTAACATTCACTTGCGGCTTTGGACACAAAAATATAGCAAATAAATGGAATTACATTTGGCTTAAATATGTGTGTACTCAAAAAGATATTTTTCAATATTTAAACACATCAGAAACCATTTGAAAGTAAACATAAATAATGCAATTTGTGGGTAATATACTTAATTAGGAGATCAAATAAATATTTTGGAGCCGTATTGGTAATATTTATGGGCATTTTTTCCCTTGGTAAATGGCATATTGGGTCGGGTTAGGATTTTATTTGGAATTTTATTCCGCAGGCAGTGGGAAGAGCATTCAAGTTAAGAGCTCAACTAGACCCTCCTCTTGTAAGGGTATGCCAAAGCCAAACATTTTCCAGCTAGTCCCACAACAAGTTTGGCCATTAAACATTCACTCATCGCCACTAGGATGACGGCATTGAACCGTGCCGTTCGTTCACTCTTCAAAACATTGTTACGCTGTTATTATAATGTTATTTTTCCCTTTCAAATGCAGAGTCTCTGGCCCCAAACCCCAAACCCCAAGCCATAGCCTACCTCAATTAGCCGACTCGTGTTGCATGCTCCAGAGGCATATTTTAATTTGGGGTT